ACACATGCTCCAATATGTACGTACCATGATATAATAAAGTTTAATATTTGTTAAAGATGTTTTTAAAATTTCTTAATAAAGAATTCCTAATCTAATCATTAGAATGGAAACTATTTATGTGTGTAAAAATGTATGTATTGTAGATATAATATTACACAAAGCCAAATAATAAGAGAAAAGCATAAATTTTTTTAAAATTAATAATTAACGCTAAATCAATGAAAAATTGAAAATAATTTTGTTTTTATTATATAGATATTTTTTCCATTAACTTATCAGCAGATAAAATTCCATTATGTCTTCTTTTTATTGTGTACCTTCCTATACAATACGATTTGATTTTGTTATCACTATGTCTTATTAATTGACACAAATTAATATTTTTTTTATTTATTTAATTAAAAATAACAAAGATGAACCAATTTATGTTAATTGAAAATTTGAATTATTTGCTCTTCCTACCAACAACACCATATTAGAGCTATTGTGTAGTTTAAAAAATATGCATGCTTTAAACAGCTTTTATAGTCATAGGCGAGGGTTTTAGGTCAGCCCGATTCTGTTTTTACCTAAACTTATAAAACGAAAGTAGATGAAGTTATAATCATGTCACCCCTGTTAGATAACCATGGGTTTCCATGAAAATCGATAGCGGCACAAAATTGTATCTTGGCAACTTCTATAAGAATTCATACAATTTCAATTAAATTTAAAAAATAAATGGTGGTTTATTATTTGTATTGCGTTTGAATGAAATTTTTATTGTATTGTATTTTATAAAATAGTTTTGAAATTGATTTTATCAGGATTTACATATATATAATCTCAATTCATAACAGGCTTTTAAATGCAATTATTGGTTCCTTGTGCTTTGGTTTACATACGATTTTTAAGAATTTTAACCATAATAGATATAATAAAATTGCCTTTGAAATGAGATTTTGATCTTGTTTTTGTTGAATAAGCTTTCAACATTTTTTATAATTATTTTTGTGAAAATGTTATGAATTCACCATAATTAAATTTTGAATTAGCACTGATATTATTGCGGATATAGATGCCCAAATTGACTTAGATTTTAATACTGAATAATTAGTTCTTATTGGTGTTTTATTTGAAACATTATTTTTAAGTGTTGGAAAACAGAGTAACAAATTTATAATACCTTACGAAAATCAATGTGTATGCATTTCGAACATACACATCACATTTATCCCCCATTGAATAGAAATATTATAATACACCATAATTTTTCTTTCCTGTGAATCAACAATTTTAATATTATGTAGTGTATACCTACCTATACTTGCATATAATAAATAAAATAATTTAAATAAATCGTAAAATATAAACAAATAGAAATTACCGTTTTATTAGGAAATTTTTTCATATATGTAATTTATATCGTAAGTATCTGCATACAATATATGTAACTTTATTGTTGCATCAGTATAGAATTTAACTATCTTAAATCAAATTTTAAGATTTTTTGAGGAGAGCGATTCAAAATATTTATTTTAAATTTTTTTCTCTCTCTCTCTCTCTCTAACAATTTAATGTTTCAGTAAAATATAATTAAGTAGCATAAGACAGTTTTAGATCATAAATTTTTGCAAAAAAAAAATTGATTGAACCAACGCTTTTACATCTACTGTAAAAATAATTCGAGAATCTAATAACTGGAAAACAGTTTTTGTTTAAAAGTTTGCTTATAGGATAGTTTTGATTTAAGGCGACGATATTTTACGTAAAAATGTAGATTGCTGTAAGTTTTTATATTTTATTCTACAGCGAAATGAATTACAGTAAGAATTTTTTTTGTTATGTATTACATGAGTCACCACTTCTTCCATAAATTTTACATTTCAGTAGTTGAAACCTTGAGTATATAATTTTTCTACAGCATAAATTTTTTAATATCATAAATAATCAATATTTTTGTATGACTTTTTTTAAATTGGTTTTCAAAATCTTAGAAATCTTAAAATTTCTTTCTTTGAAGCCTTGATTTATTGAAATGAAACAAAAAAATTAATTATAAATTTATAAAGATATAAGATTAATTTATTTAATTAAATCGTTTATTGTGTTCTGTTATTCAGTGTTACTAATATTTATGTTACGATCCTACACAATAATTCTACATTATTAACATATGATGCTAATGAAAAACATATTAGCAATTACTTTTCATACTAATAATTAATTTATGATGTACGATGATGTGCAGAACGCGAATACTATAATACGCATAATATACAAACAAAAAAATAGCACTGCACTGCTATAAAACGATATTATTACACAATTCAGCTTATGACATAAGTTTAAATCGCTGAATTGTGTAGCAATACATAATTGCTCTAACTTAGAGTATATTTTTAAGAACATATTTAGTATTATCCGAGACAGTAAGATTTTAATACAATTACATATGTACATATTTCATTTTATTTGTTTAATTCTAACAATCTCAATACTATACGTAGCAGTAATAGAAAATCTAGCGTAAAATTTTATAACTCCAATGTTTCCCACATATATGTAAATATAAATAAAGAAAATAAATTTCCTTTAATTTATCCTCTTCATTACAACTATCATTCCATTGGCTCCCATATTATTAATTTACTACCTCTCATATAAAAAATTATCTATTTCATCTTTTAAATTTACCATAAATAAATATTTATCATAAGTAAAAAGGTTTAAATATTAATATTATATTTTAATATTAAAAGCTTTTATATAATAAAAAGAAATAATGCTGTAATTTCAGGAAGTAAATCGAAATCGCTTTAAAGTATTTTTATTATTCAGCAAACTTATAAATAATAAAATTATGTCAGTGGTCAATAAATTACCGAAATGTTTGGCGTCTCTTTTCATTTCTTTGCAAATTAAATTTTGCTAATTTTTAATATGTACATACATACATATATGTATAATATAATAAATATTAAAAGAAATCGATTACATCTTATTTTTGCTCTTGGATACCTTCCAAAATTCTTTATTGCTTTTAAAACTGAATCATAACGATTTGAAATTTACAGACTTATGTAACAACTAAGTATAAAAAAGTAATGTAGAAATCTTTTTATGTGTTTATAAAAAAATACTTCTTATCATCTGTTCTAACAATAAAAGTACTAACCATGTTCAGGTGTGTGTACATATTGTGAAATAGTTCCGGATAGTTCATCATAATATTATTATAGTAAATTACATTCTATGACACATGCGTGGTTCTGCTATAGTAACCGGCTTTTTACGGATAAATAATATGAATTACCAAAAAGAGAAAAAGAAAAATAACAATCAAAATTTTTTTACCATGCTTTAAATAAGTACCTATGTATATATGTATGTATATGTACATAACTATATATCTAATTTGTTTAACACTACAAAATCCAAGTTTGTTCTTTATAAAATGCTAACATAAAAGTGATATATGTACATAAGTAAGTGTTACGGTAATAGTAGTGGATAAGTGAACTTTCGTTTCTAGAATAACTTAGGAATTAAAATTGAAATAAAATTATTCACAAAAAATTCAAATTTTTGTACATTTTTTCCGAAACATCGACTTCTAAAAAACGAATCAACATTTTGCAACAAAATTGAAAATTTCTTCCTAAAAATATTGTATAAATTAAGATTCTTATTGATTTTGAGAAAAGATAATTTGTATTTGTTGATTTCGTGCTATAAACGCAATTGTCATCAAAATAATGTAAAAAATTGTTTGGGTTAGGGAGAGTTTTGAGAGAGAATGAGGGTTTTATAGTAAGGGATCGCAAAAAAATTCTGTAAATTTTACAAAATTCAACAAAACAGTTGCTGTTAATTTTGTCTTACAGGAAAAGTACTTTGCCTTTCCCAAGTTTACAGTTTTATTTATTTATCACCTCGCATAGTATCATAAGAGTAGTGACTACAATGCAAACTTTTCCACATTTTTAAAATTATTTTCAATCCATATAAACATAAAAATCACTTTTACCGTAATATTATTACCATACACATTAGATTGTTGTTTACATTTTGAACCCAATATTCACATTAAATTAAAATAAATAATATTGTATTGTATATATTATATAAGTAAATATGTATGTATGAGTGTTATAAGTATATAGATTATGTATTTTTATAATACATATATGCAAATATATTTTAAGTATTTAATATTTAAATATTTTTATATTTATTTCGTCATATTAAAGAAATTAATATCGTCACAAGAAGAACAATAATAAATTAATTCATGAGATTAGGTTCAAAAAAAAACTTGATTTTTTTTTTTTGTATTTTAGAAGAGATAAATGGTTTTAGTATTAAGAAATTTTAATAATGTGATTCATCAATTCTCTTGTGTATTTGTTTTTTAAGATTTTTTAGGTCTATTATCTTATTAAAACTACCTGAATAATGTGTTTCAATTAAAAATCTCTGCTATTGTAGTAAAAAGAAAATTAAAAGGTCTTTAAGTTTTTAATTTTTTTAAGGAAAATCCTCTCGAGACCTGCACAAAATCGATCCTCACAAAATAGGTATTCAGAACCATAGGTCTTGAGAAAGCGCTTTAAGCATGATAGATGGAAACGGTGACAGATTAGATTCACTTTTTAGGTTTCGGAGCATTTTTACCTTATATCTAACTTAATCTCATCTAATCTAAACCAATAATTTGGTCTTATTTTATACATACATGTATTATAAAAGGAATTTTTGGATTGATATTTCGATTGAATCGGTAAATGGAATTTAACACATGAAAACTGTGAATATAATTTGTAAAGTAATATCCAATTTTGCATACTGGTCACATATTAATTAATTAATTTCATTCATTTACATAAAATTAAATCACATACTTAAATACCTAAATACATCTACACGTAGGTGTATGAAACAAATAATATGCCTTTAGCCACTTATCTACATTACAAATTTACATAAATATATAGCTATAGTATGGTTAATATACTTACTGTCTAGCATCTTCATTTAAGTGACCCTTAATGATGACTTCATCACCAGATTTTAATGATTTTGGAAGAATAGCAAACAACGGTCTTTCGGACATATCCTTTTTGTTTTGTTTTTTTTTTTTTTTTAAATACAATTTAATTTTAAAGTTTTTAAACTGCGAAATTGATTTCAATACTTTTCAATTTATAAGTTTTATAATTATTCTTTATAAAAAAATACATTAAAAATTTTATGTTTTGGATTTTTTTCGTTGCTACAGTTTCGAAAAAAAAAAAAATCATTAATTTACACTACTTAGTAATAATACTCAATACTAAGTATATTGTAGATACACTTAAGTATGCATTGTATATACATACATATATTTAAAAAATAAACGAATTTTGTATTTTAATTGTAAAACTTTTCATCCTTTAAATTTGGTTTTCTTACAAGTTAATGTTGTAATATAATATATGTATGTATGTAGGTTGATACGTTAAAGAGAAATTTGTATCTAAATGTTAAATAAAATATACTTATCTAATTACAATTACAATTATTTAAAATATGTATATAACTTTATGTTACATTACTCAAAATTAAATTAAATTTTTATAATTTTTTAAAATTTACATACATATGTATATCGCAAAGAGAAAACGATAAATTTAATATATTGTATTAATTATAACAAAAAAACAAAAATCGTATACCGAACTACTAAAAATAAAATACTATTTATTTATTCCACATGAAATTTGCAACTGAGCTTTTCAAAATTTAATTTCCACCTCAATAGCTTCATTCTTCAATCTTCATATACTCTGAAGGAGTAAATAATAAATAAAAAGAGTGTGCAAGCAAGTTGAGAATGATGACGTATTTATATAAATTCAGCAAAATATTTATAATAAATATATAGAATCACATAGCATAAGATAAGAAAAGAAAAGGTAAATACATATTTATTTCGTATACATAATCGTATGTAAGAAAGAACTTAGAATGTATGTATGTATATACATAGTATAGTATGTATAATATTTTGAATAAAATTAATTTATTATAAACATACATAATATGTAAGTAAGTAATAATGAAAATATTATTATTGTATTATTCGTACTACAAAAAATATTGTATTAAATTGAATTTTTTATACACATTATGTACGTTAAATTTTCATTGACTGTTGGTTTGTATACCTCGTTATAAGATAATCAAAAAAAAAGTAATCAATAAATATTTTCAATTTTAAAATCAGTAACGAAAGTTAAATGTTTTTTGAATACATAATTTACATGTTTACATATACACACATACATATATTTGTGTTCAAACAACAGTGCTATTAAAATTGCAATAATAAGAGTTGTTGTAATCCCTGATTTGTGTAGCAATGAAGTTTTACTACAATTTTGAACAAATGGAGATTATTTTATTGTATGTATGTATACTATACATAGGGCACATATTTGTGCTCATATTTTTTTTTAAAGGTTTCGCGCATATAATACTTTAAAAGTGGCAAGCCGTTCCTTGATAAAGAAATTATATTTAAGTAATATTTATTGATAGATGATAAAGATAAGATAACAATATGTTATGGTACTTGATATACATATATGTATGTGCATATATATTTGTATGATCAAATTTCCGTAAATTAATCAGTGACATAATCAAATTTCGGAATTTTTTTTATAAATACATAAATATTCTTCTTGAAGAACAAAAACATAAAAATAATTATGTAATGTACATATACATGAATCAACAAAATGATTTAATAAATGTACGTACTTATATACTGTATATACATATATCACAGCTGGCAGGATCAAATGTTACGTTAAGACACAAACTATCATTTGGATCATCAGAAATTGGTAAAATTTTTGTTCGAAACTTGGTATCTCAACAGGGACTTTATGAAAATTTTTAATAGTTTTTATTTGTTTTTATTATTCGATTTTAAAAGGATAATAGGCTTTAAACAAGGCTCTTTCGAAGCGCTCATTGGGGGCATAAGTTAACTTCAGGCATGAATTATTTTTCTACTACATATGTTCTAGTATTCTCTGGAACAGCATTTAAAAAATACCTACATAAATAATTTTCTTCAGTTTAGACCAGTAGCAGCAGCATAATTAAAAATACTTTATATAGTTTAACTTTTAATACATCAAATTTATTTTTGTTAAAATTGACATTGAAATACAATATAAATACATATTTTAATTTTTGAATACTTCAACATGCATACGAATTGATTAATAATAAATACAAAATATTTAAAAGTGTATGTATAATATTTATAATTAGCATTTTTTTAAAGCCTTAAAAATTTTGGTAAAACACGTCTAAATAACATAAATATTATAATATTAGTCTAAAAAATTTTATTTGTTAATTTGAGCATAAAATGCCATTTGTTTTATTGTGTTTAGGCACTTTTTATTGTGCTTTAAAATAATTTATAATAGTGTGATGTAGGACCTACCTTTTCTTCGTAAAGTGAGGTTCACATATTACTGAAAACTATGGTTTTTTTTTTATTATAAAAATGAATGTTTATTAAAAATACTTCTTAAAACTAAAATTATTAATTCAGTTCTGTTTATGTTTGTATATAAAATGTTATCAAAATTATAAATATTTTTAATTATATAATTTAAATGGATTTTAGAATTTTTATTAATATATGAGCTTTAGTGTACTCAATATTTGGCAGCTATAATAAGAGACAAAAAACTTAAGTTTTTACTTCGATTTCCCATTTTTGGGATCTGGAACGTTTATGCCATTAAGTGTTATTTAATTATTATATAAATGTTATAATTGATTGTTATGTATAATTTTTCTTATGCTAAACGTACATAAAATATTTTAATATACTTTTTTAAATTTATATTGTTAATTAAATCATTCAAGAAATTGAAACACACACTCAAAGACAAATTTGAAATGTCTCACTATTTCCATGCTGCAAAGTTATTGAAGCTTTCCGCATTATTATTTTGTTACTATTAAAAATTTTGTTTTATGTATATATTAAAAATTGAGTTATTACGATACGGGAAGGCACAAATGCTTTTTTTTTGGTTTTAAAATTTTTCTTTTTTATTTGATTTTGTACATACTTCAGAAAATTTGCATTTTATTTCATAGTTAAGAAATTTTTTTGACCAGTTAAATGAATTAATATGTATGGTGAATAAGCTGTTAATATTAATATCTGAAAGCTACAAAATAGTGAAAAAGCTTCAATTGTTGTTAATTCAGTAAATTGCCCACGATAGTTCCTACTTCAATTTATTAATTTAAAAATTTATCATTTAAAATAAATTTATACTAAAAAGTTTAGAATGCTTAAATTAATCGCTCACATAAATTTTGCGAATTCAAATATAGTAATGAAAGTTATTTTTTATCTTATCTTCCAATAAGTTAAATTTTAGAAAAGCACGATAAAATTATATGTATATGAATACATAGCCAAGTATATATTTAATAGGATGACGAATTTTGAAAGAAATCGATTTAGTTATGTTTATTTAGTATGTTTTTTAGATCATCATGAAAACTTTTTGCAGGATCATCCTTGTCCTTATAAACAAAGTACCTTAAAAAATTAAAAAAAAATCATTAAATTAAAAATTCAATTTTTTTTTTGTTTGTGTTTTTACCATATCAAAACTCCTATAACCACGAGCAAAACAATTACTGAGCATATTATGGAGAATAGCATTGAGAGTGCACATTTTACACAACAACAAGTTACAGTTTCAGCACAACATGTCAAGCACTTACACATTTTCTTTTTTGTTAATTTTAGGAAAACAAAATTTAAAAAAATTAATTGCAATATTTATTAACAGACTACACCCTAACTCGACTTGAAATCAAATAGATACTTTTGCACTACAAATATTTATTTTGGACTAATAAACAAGCTGATTAAATAATAATCTCTTTTGTATTGTACATGAAATACATAAAAAAATGTATATCTCAAATTCCCAAATACAAATAACATTGTTTGTATTGTAAATAGCATTACCGTATTTCACAGAAAATCTGGAAAATTTTCGCCAAAAAACCTGAAAAATCTGAAAACATAGAAAAAGAAAACTGGAATAAAATCTAAAATCAAAAAAAGTTTTTTATATTTATTTAAGCACATTTTGATTTTCATATAACTTATGTTTTTAAATTTATTTTTATTATTTAATTTAACTTAAATTTTTAAAAAAACTGGAATAAATTTGTTTTTAAAAGCATACATTCACTTATATTGCTTATTTTGATTTTCTTTATGTTGATGCTCTAAATTAACCATGAACAAACTTTTATGGGTTTGACAAGAAATAACATTTTCGACTGATTTTATTGATTATTTTATTTGGCTTCAGCTAGGTGTCAATTCATTTAAAATCAATTTTTTTATGTATTGATTTTTGAAATACAGAATTACCGTTTCAGAAATATTAATTCACGAAACAAGAAATTTAAAGTAGTTTGTTAGAATTTTCTTAAGTTAAAAATCTGGCATAGTTAAAAATATCTGGCATTTGGTTTCTGGTCATCTGGCAGACCTTTGAAAAATCTGAAAAATTAAATAGATATCGCAGTTGGGGAACACTTATTGTAACTGAGATTTGATGTGATTGAAGAGACATTAAGGTTAAGTGTTACCTAAATTAAAAACAAGTTTTGAGTAAATTCTCCTACAAACTATAATAAATAGAGCCTCAAATCGTCTTGAGAATGCAAGAAATCGAGAATTGCCAGCCACAGGAATTTGCAGCAAGAACGACCACACATCAGGTTTAAATAAGGGAGATGTGTGTGGTGGTACGTAACCTTCAGTTCGGGTTCATTGACAGCAAGAAAACGGCGGGACTCTGTACACAAGCCTATATGATCCTTGATAGACCTGCCCCGTCGCCAGAAGTCATTAACCTGGTGTCGGAGGTCGCAGACAAGAGATCAAGTTTGATCATTGGTTGTGATGCAAATGCAAGAAAAACCCTTTGAGCTAGTTCGGAGGTAACCCAAAGAGGTCAATCCTTATATGATTTTTTTAAGCAGTAATTTAATGGAGCAGCTTTCCAAACTTTGCATTTCCACCCTTAACAAACAATTGTTTAGTCGAGAAGTGAAGATGGTTCAACGTGAGGTGCTTTTCAGACTCTCTTCACGGTGTGGTTATAGGACTATAGGCCTCCACATAGGAAACCAAGAAGAATAAATTGGTTTAAATTCCCTCTAAAATATCCTAAGGAAACCTATCCCCGTAGTAGAATGAAGATTTATCTAGCCTCAGAAAGATGACCAGAGATATCTTCTATGTCTGCTACATGACGGGGTCATGGAAAGCCTGCAAGGAGAGTCTCAAGAGATATGGAAGGGCCCCTCCATAAACTGGGTCTGGAGACATTTTTATGGAAAGGTGGAGTGTATCAGACACTCTGTCAGACTTAGCACATTAGTATCCGAAGGGCACTTTAATCCTTCTATTCTAAGCGGTTAAGCTCTTAAAACTGAGAGGATTGTTGGGGCTGTAACTGAAATGGATGTCATACTTCTGCCAGAGCTGCAAAACGGTAGGAAATTTATAGCTCCGTGGATTCCAAAAATTTTTAGAAGACGACTCCCTACACCTTAAAGAATGGTTGGCGACAATGAGGGTTGAAACCTAGCATGGTTATGTGGCTGTACATAGCGATCATGCGATCAATTCTCCCCTATAGAGAGCTAGTGTGGTGACCGGCGTTGGAGGGGGCTTATAACTGTACCAAAATAGGTAGGGTTCAGAGAGTGCGTGAATTCGCATTATTGGGGTATTAATTTGTGAAATTAAATAATGAAGCTTAGTTAAGTAATCTTTTAATATTTTAATATTATATGTGTCAAAGAATCCGATGCAGTGAAATAAGTTTTCTTCTACTTTTTTTGCAATTCTCTTTAGAACGTCACACATATGCCTTATCCTTCTGACCCACATTTCGATTCAGGTAGTGTAAATATCTTATTATGTCATATAAATATGGAATTATTAAGTAATTACCCCGAAAAAATAATTCTTCAACTAAAAATCACTTGATTTAAAAATTAGTTAATTGTAAATTTATAGTTTCTTTTTGCAGAGTTTTGAAATAAATGTATGTAAATAATTTGACATTTTATTGAATTTGACTTAATTTTCGGAACAAAAACTGCTAGAGACTGTTGTTATTGCAAATTATATATGTATACATAATATGCGAATATATATGAAACTATTTTTTTATATAAAGCCGTTCACATAGAGCGCTAGGTGGATTGTCAAAACAGAAATTGTCTGATGAGTGTATTTATTTTATTTTTAAAAAATACTTAAGAAATTAAAATTTACTAATTAAATGTAAATTACCTTAGATGTCAAACAGGTAAAAATTGTATAAATAATTATTAAAAAAGCATCACCCCGTGAAAATTTTAATATTAATATTAAAATTATAAAATCCCAATAAATGTAAAACAAAATAAAGTGAAATTTTTCAACATTTACATATGTATGTATGTACATATGCATTTATTTTTTTATAACATTAAATAGAAATGGTGAAATTATGAAGACATCAAAAGAGCCTGAGCAACCAAATTGTTTTAATTCATTCTTTGAAATAGCATTAAGGATAGTTGTTTTCATAATATTTATGTAAGTCTCGTATCAATAAGAGGTCTAAAGAAATTTTGTTATTTTTATTCAAAATATATACATATATAAACAAAGTATATTTAAATACTAATGTACAATTAATAATTCAGACACTTAGAATGTAAGCCAGCATTTAAAAGGGTTATACTTCCTGAAGAACTTTGGATGTACAAATATCCACCAACCGCAGATTATGTTCCCTCAGTTTTTTTATTGCCAGCTGCATTTGTTGTACCATTTACCGTAATTTTTATAAATTATTTAATTAATCATGATAGATATGATTTTTTCCAAGCGAACAACGCAGTAACGTTATCTCTAGGATTAAATGGAGTTATTACTAGTTTATTGAAAATAGCAGTTGGCCGACCAAGACCTGATTTTTTTTATAGATGTTATCCTGATGGCAATTTTCCTACGAATTACTCTATGGAGTGCACAGGCAATACTAGAGAAGTTAATGAAGGGCGGAAAAGTTTTCCTAGTGGGCATTCTTCATGTAAAAAATATACTTAAATTATAACACTATAATTCAAATGTACGTATATACATCACATAAATTTTTATATTACAGTTGCATTTGCTGGATTTGGTTTTGTTTTTCTTTATATTGCTGCTAAATGGAACATATTTAACGAAAAAGGTCGAGGAAACACCTTGGGCTTGGTAACATCTATTGTACCATTGATCGTAGCTGGTATACACATATTGAAAACTTGCAAATTATAGAAGTAAAAATGATTAATAATTTGTAGGATTAGTGGCTATAAGTCGAACTTGTGATTATCATCATCACTGGGAAGATGTTGTTATAGGTTCTTTTATTGGAATGGGAATTACCTACATTTGCTATCGACAGTATTATCCATCTCTAACAAATACTCATTCTGGAAAGCCTTACAAATATTTTAAGAAAGTAGAACAATGTTCGGTAGTTAAAAATAATATTAACCATAATGGTGAAACCAAACCACTAATTAACGAGAATGAAAAAGATTCTAAATGGATTTGATAATTATTAATTTAACTATAAATTCTAACAGGATCTTCATATTTGTTTTTCATCAAGTTCTTATTAATTTTCTTGTAGTTATATACATACGACATAAAATTTTCATTAGCTATCAAAGTATTCCCAAAATTATTAAAAAGGTTATATATATATATATGTATTTCAAATCATAAATAATGGTGTACTATTGTAGTTCTAAATTACAATCAAAATTTAATCTTTAGAATTAAAGAAGAAAAACAAAGAAGCTTTGCTTTCTTTTTCAACTAATTCGTACTTCGTCCAATTTATCTACAATACAAAGAAATAAATATTTTTTTATCAAAACCGTTTTTCTTGTTACTTTTTGTGATATGTATAAAAATTTTATAAAAAAATATACTTTTTTGTATTTTTCCTTAAATAGTTAAGTATTTATAATCGATAGCCATAAGTATTATTTATGTTATATAATTTTAATTCCATTGAGGACTATTATTTTTAATGCTTAAAAAAGTTAAATAGTTTTTAATGTTAAAATTACAAAATATGTATTAAAAAAAAACAATTTTTATAATTGCATAATCCTACCAGATAATTGTTATCATTCAGTTTTTTCTAGTTTTTTTTTTAAATAGTTCAAGTACACTATTGCAAAAGTGTAAAATTATAAGCATAATATTGTTCATACAGTTTTTCAAGAAATTTTGTGAAAGTCTAGAAATTTGGTTATGTTCTAATCTAACTGAGTTTGTGCTCCTAATTACACTTGATTATAAGACAAATCCGAACAGTTATAATGCATATGTATGTACATAAAGAAGGGTATAAAAATTTTAAGAACTCTTTTGACATACGAGCAAACAACTACCAACAACTTTTATTATTTCATTATAGAAAGAAATACTCATGTTCTTCTAATGTAAATCAAATTAAAGCCGACCGAAAAATTACCCTTTCCTTCACCAAGCCGTAAAGCTAATATAAAATACATATAATATTCCATAATCAAACATTTCAAATTACATAAAAAAAACTTTATTATTAATTGAGAAGGATTTTGCATCTTAACCATCTGTCATTCAATGACGCCCCTTTTTCTTTTTTTGACCACCTTTCCTATGATGCTGCCTTGGACCTGGATTTGATTCTTGATAAGCTGGAGTTGCTGGAGAACTTTTACTTAGGTTTTGGGCTTTAGACATATCACTAAAAAAAAATTGATTAAATTATATTATAACAATTTAGCTGCTGCTTACTATTGATCTGCTGCGCCAGAAGCCATTCCTTGTGATCCCTTAATAACATCTTTATTCCTTCTATCACGTTTCTTCCTATAACCTGTCCTTTCATATTTTGGTAGCCACCTTTCAGGATCCGGAGGAACGTTGGGATTGTAATTTTTAGGTAATTTACCTTTGCGTTTCCTTTTCAAGCGCCTCTTTTTTTGAATATCTGTTCCAGGAGTTCCTGGTGATTGGTCCCCTGTTTTAATCGTTGCCGTTTTTTTGACTGCTTTTGTGGACATCATCCAATTAGTAGCTTCCAAGATATCGATTTCGGAAGCCGTTGTTAATGCTTCCAGAGCAGGCAATTTTTTACTAACCTGCTGAGCTTTTTTGGGATCGAACTGAGCATAAGCTATAACTAGTTGAGCTAAAACCTTCATATCATTTGGGTTCGACTTCAATAATTCTTCTAAAGAACTTGCTGCGGTTTCTGCTGCACCACCACGTAAATGAAATTCTGCCGCCTGACGCCACATATCAGACAAATTTCCTCCGCTAACTTTATGTTTCTTATACCATTCAACAGCTGATTTCAATATGTCTGAAGCTGCTTTTTTGTTATCCAAACCTAAATAAAGTGTTACTAAAGCAGAAACTATTCCTGGTTTATATTTATCATTTTCGAGTGACTGAAGTTTTTCGATGGCTGCTTTTTTATTGCCCTATATTAAAAAATTAAAAAAAAAATTATGAATACCTGAACGAAAAAACACCAAATATAATAAAAAATAAAGTTTGGGTTAAATTATAATTTTTCTTCTACTAAGAGTAAAAATTACTTACATTCATTAGAAGAACTTGCACAATGGCAAATTTAATTGCAAAAGAATTTTCGTTATCCGCTTTTACAAATTTTTCTAAAATATCTAGGGCTTCTTTATATTTCTTTTCTTTAATTAATAAACTGACTTTTATTAAAAGTATCTCGAACTCTGCATCAGGATAAGTTTGCGCCAACTTGTTACATAACTGCTGACACTGATCATTAGAACTCGCAAAGAGATTAAATAAGCAGTTATTAATTGCTATGGATCTTTTTTGCCTTTTAGTAAGTTTTGATTCGCAAGCATCTGCCATGGCTAATCTAATTTTCTTCTTTGAATCGAAAACATTTTGGTCTTTGTTGATTACAACTGAGTTATTACTGGCCACAGCTATTAGTGCAGGATCAGAAGATTTCTTTTTTAAACATTCCGCATACAAGGAGGCGGCTTCCTTAGTCTTGCCTTGCATTTGCAAGCAATAAGCCAATTGAACTTTTATGACAGAAAGCTCGTCCTGAATTTCTTCTTCGGTTGCTCCATCGTCCTCCAATGTTTCTTTACATAATTTTTCGCTTTGGCGAAGTTTTTTTTCTGCTTCCTGATATTTCCCACGGTTTGATAGTGCGCATGAACTATTAAAGCACATTTCGTAAGTGTTTTCAGGTAGGTTAGGTAATTCTTTTTGCGGATCAATCGCTAAATTTGCAACAACTGCACTTAAATTCGCTTTCCTTTCGTCTTCAAAATCATCTTCGCTATGTTTTATGATATCTTTATAAAGATTAAAGCATTCTTCATATCTTTCCAAACGATACAAAATTTGGCATAATAGCTCTTTTAGATTTTGTGGTAAAGGTTCAATTCCACATTGTTCAATAATTTTTATAGCTTTTTCTGGCTGGTTAAGACGATATTCGCAATATGCATTCTCAAAAACGAGATGTCTCAATTTATTTTTTTCTATGAACTGAATGGCTTCTGTAAATTTCTGTACTTGTATTAAGCACACAACTTTACAATGTAGTGCTTTTTCATCAGTAGGAGCCAAACCCAATACTGTGTAAGAAAAATTTTTGGAATTCATATTATTTTTTAACCATTTTTGAAAATCACATACCCCTATTAACACTTTTCATAGCTTTTTCATACTCTCCATTCAAACCAAATTTATTAATATCTGCGAATGCAGCTTTAATTGCCGCATCTTTATTTTGATCTTTCGACATGATAATATTGGAAAATTTATCCAAATTTGCTCAATTTTTTGATAACTTTTTTCCGTCACTTAAAACCATTTGTTTTCTAAATGCAAGATGACAACTCATCAAGAAATTTTTCCCAGGCGGTGACAGAAAGTAGTACGACGTGCCATTGTATTTTGACATAACATTAGTACAATTCGACATTACTTTTTTGGCGAGTGTAGTATTATTACTCCTTCAATTTTACATAATTTTTTTCTACTTCTACATTTATTTCTCTTTTTGCTATACAAACATGAAAGAGACAAATGTTCTATGAAAAGTTTTCACTTTAATAATTTGTACTGTTTCCATATTATAGGACATCTAAGTCTACAATAAAGTACGATGACAGTTTACATGTCAGACTGAAATTATCTCGGGCTTTACGTTAAAATTAAACAATACGATACTAAAATTATATATAACCAAAATTAAAATTATTCTCGCCATTTTGATTTTAAAAAGTTTGATAACAAAGTCTAATTTCTTTAATTAAAATTTGATTTGTCAGAGACAAAATCTAATTTCGAACTGTTTACATGTACAATTTTTATCAGACTCAGTGGAACGAACACAACCAGAATAAAAAGGAAAAAAGTTGACAAATGTAATTCTGCATTCTATTTCATTTCTACCTTTGATATAAAATAAAAAAAATGCGTTTGTAATGTTTAAAATTGATTGAAAAAACATAGAACATAACGTTCGGAATACTCTGAATGAACAAAAAAATGCATTTTGACTGAGGTTTCTGATATATTCTGAATATTATTCCGAAATAAATAAACGAAAAGGTTTTAGTATGTAGTGACTACATGTTAGATGTAGTGATAGTTAATATCACTAAATTAGAGCAATTAATCGATAATTTAGTTGACTCGGCAATATTGAAATCTTATCAAATCAAGCTCCAAACCAATAAACATTAGTCAATATTTGCTCACCTTCCAAAATGTCAAAATGCTAAAAATGTTGATTACTTGGGAGAGGACGGAGAACTCATAGAATTTGAACTTATTGCAAGCTAGTCTATTAAGCGAATGTATAAGAGATAACTTGATAATATTATTAATATAAATCAGTGTATAATTTATATTTTTGGTTTTTTTTTTATGTGTTGCTACTGTAAAATAAGTGTGAAGTGACTAAGTGTACTTTAAAAATTTATGTTTAATGTTCTGACGGACTAGGAAATTAATATTAACATGTCAATTTAAATTTACGTCTTACCTTTTGAATGCAATTTATGAAGCGTAAGTGCTTTGAAATAATATTATTAAAGGCTTGGAATAAAAAAATTAAGTTATATACTACCTAGATTTTTTGGATTAAATTTTTTATTTCACTCCTCCGTTTACGAAAACATCGGACAAATCAGCTGACAATTAGCATTATTTTTCGCATTTTTATAGGGACTGATTGATATGTACATTAATGTATTTTTTAATTTGATTAATAAAAGGATAAATCTAAAGTTTATTCATTTCAATCATTTTAAAATAAATATTTTTGTCTTAAAATATTAAGGGCGTGATTAGCTAAAAAATTAAAACAGCAAACCTATTTAAAAAGTTAACAAATTCATTTAGAAAGAAACCTAATAAATTCTGCAATTTTTCAAAAGAAAATAATTAAAAATTATGTTAACTTAGCGTAATCAAATTTAATATGGACAATGAACAAGAGGGTCAGGTATCTTCCTTAAGAGAAATTTTGGATACGGCATTTCAATCCTCAAATGTAGAAGAAACAAACGCAAATGAAGAAGGTAATCTTCACAAATAAGAAATAGGTGTTTATATGTACATATAATTTATTCCATTTTAGCTCCATATGATATATTTGCATATAATGACTACCCGCCAATAGAGATTCAATATGTTAGTATTATTTTTACTTGTAACTAAAACAGAAGATAATTTCTTATAACATATGTATGTTGTTTACTAATTGGAAAACCGATTTTAATATAATTTAGAATGCCTGGCACGTACCTATGGACACTATTATTGAAAATAATCCTCAAGAAAACATCTATAATTACAATTCCTGTCCACCATCTGCACATAACAACTCCCAAGCATCAAGGTATGAAGAAGAACGGCATCAGATTCAACAAGATTGTAGACTTCCTTGGAATGAAGTTCGTAATCAAAGCAACCCCTCCAATGGTATTGTACGTCAAAACCATAATGATGGAAATAGCAATGTCAATGTTTGGTCTAACAAAATGGCCATTAAAGTTTGTACAACTTGCAATAACATAAGAGAATGCTCTTGCCAGCAGATAAATTTAAGGTAATTGGATCATAAAAATATATTCATTTAAATAAGCTTCTTTATATTTCATAGAGAACCACCACAAATTTCTTTTGGTTTGGTACAGCATATTCCAAGAAAAAGAAAGGAAACAAATACGTTGTTACAAAGGCTTTCTCCACCACAAAATTCAAACGAACTTCGTTCTGTTATTCATGTGTTACCAGAAAATGTTACAAATACCTCAGGAACAGTTATTGAGGTAGGTTCCTCAAATAACGTAGTCATCAGTTCCCAATTAAATAGTGGATGCCCACAACAACATGAGAAGCAGCAATCCTTAAATATACAGAAACAATCTCAAAGTTCCGAAACATCTAATACAGTTACTACAACAATATTATTATCACCACGTTCTTCGGATTTTAATTATCCCAATGAAATTTCGAATTCTACGTTTGCTACTGACGTCATAATTTCACCCCAAGATACTTTAATCAACACAAATAACGTTGAAAGTAACAGTAGAAATGATTTTCAAAATATGCCATCAAATATGTCAACCGATGAATCTAGTGAAAATCGATTGGTAATACCTGAATGCTGTGATAATACTAGTGTACATCATCTCGAAAATCCTGCATCCAAAAATCGAACTTCTTGTATAAATAGTAGTAAAATTATAAGCACCACTGAAAATAAAAATAGTCATATTAATTTAAATAACAATGCAAACGAAAAGATTAGTGGTGTTAATGAAAATAATAGTAACAATAAGAACAGTAAAAGCGTCTATACTAACTCAAATTGCGTAGTTGAATCACCAATAGTAACAATCGAATCTATTAACTCATCCAATGAAGTACATGAACCGATTCCGGGTCCTAGTGGCCTAAATAATCATTCTCGTTTTTATGACAATCCAACTGTGTCTTCATCAAACATATTTCGTTCAATAGACAATACAAATAGAACTATTCGCATGGTGGATTCGGATGATAGTGATGATTCATCTGACGATAATGACTACTTTAGGCTATATGCACCCAAACAAAAATATCAGCGGCTCAATGTAGATTCCGTTTATGTTATGCCAAATGCTAAAAAACATTCAGTTGCTTCAGATTTAAGCATATCAAATAATGTAGAAAGTACTAGTACAATTGATGAATCTAGTGGAAACGGTCTCCAAAACGAAAATCAGAATACTAAAATTAATATTCAAAAAAATGCGAGTTCGCAGCAGCCTGAAGTAATGACAGGTTGGATTTCTGATACTAGTGATGAAGATGACGATATTATTTTTGTTCATTCATCTTCAGTGAGTTTTAATTTTTTAAGAAAAGACAAAATCACCATTATAAAAAGGTTAAATGTTTTTTTTTGTTTTGTTATTAGGAACCCGTTACTTCAATTGATTTGACAAAAGATGATGATTCCAACGATGCAGCCCCCACAGCATCAACCCCATCAGCTTTCAATAGCTTTCAAAATTATAACAATCATTCATCAGTCATATATAATCCAGCACCAGCGCGTTCATCACTAGCCGACGCTAACAATTGTAATAATACGTGGTACGTGACGTCACATGAAACTTTAGAAAACAATAACCATACTGAATTCAATCAAAATTATGGGCATAGGAATTCTTATTCAATCGATGATCTTAATATAATAGATTCTGCGGAAACAAACGTAACTGCACAAGCTCCGACAGCCATTTTAACGAACGTGTCAAATGATGTGGATATAACGACAAATGCATGTAACTTACCTTCTCAGCAAGATCGAGTTCGAGCATCAACTCCAAATGTCATCACAGCCACATCAACTAACACATCAAACTCTGATTCAGTTGTGCCATACCTATTTTCTTTGACGTCATCTCATCACTTGTCTGGGTTAGACAATTTAGCAATTTCTACTCCAACAATCGTGACTGCTTCATCAACCTCAACTCCAACCTCCAACTCATTAAGACCATATTTACTAACTACAGCTGAACCAGATTCCTCTCAACCAGAATATCAAAATAATACATCAAATAACTGTCATGTCTTTTTAAACCAATCTTTACCTTCTCCACCTGTCGCTCACGCTACAGATATAAGTACGCCTGCAGCTCATATGAGTACCATTCATTATCACCCATCCAGAACTCCTCTTTGCCGACGTTTCCAAAATGCAACAGCAGCAGCAGCTGCAGCTGCTGCTGTAACTGCTTGTACTGCTCAAACAGAATCAAACGCACAAAGACAACAACAGCAACAATATTCGAACAATTACCAGCAGGGTGCTTTACCTTATCCACCCCCTCACTACCACGTGCCACCGAGATATCCAATACATGATAATTTATGGCGCCGTCAACAAACGACACAAGAACTTCACAGAAGACACATGATGCCAATAGATTTGTCTAACGGCAGGAGTGTTTCCAATTATCGAAGTGGTTATTTGTCAAATATATGTAACTGTCCCGCAACAAGAAGCAGGCATATTCGACACCCTTGCAATGTTCGACATACGGATGGGGTAAATTCCCGTTTGGTAATTTTCTATAATTTATCTAATTTATATTTTGTTTTTTAGCACTATCCTTCTGTCACAAATTTGCAATCTGGAATGGATCCTAGACCTATTGGGGCCGCTCATTCAGCTCACACAAATCTATCAACATTTTTTAATAATATGCAACCTTCGCCAACGGAACCTCAATATGTGCATCATCATATGATTCATCATTATGCATACCCTCATCCACCGCAATTTCATCTTAGTATCGGTTTGAGATCACCAGCAAGCTATTCACATCCAATGGCCTTAATGTCTCATGCTCTTAATGCTCAACGTAATCAATTCTTTTTTGGCTCTACACTTCGACCAAATCGGGGTGCTACATTGGTTAGAATTGAATCATATTAAACGCTTTTGATATTAATGATTATGATTAATTATTTGTATTTTTTTTTCATTTATAGGAAGTTATTGAACGAAACACTTTACCACACAAATATAAACGTGTTCGTAGACCTAGCGAAACCGATGAAGATGCGGAAAAATGTGCCATTTGTTTGTCCTTGTTTGAAATTGAAAACGATGTCAGGTACTTTACTTACTTTATATTGTATTTTACTTCAATAAGTACATATCTCATATCTATAATATTTATATCAATAGTTTGTACTTTATTTGAGTTGCATTTTGTTTCTTTTTATGTAGACGCTTACCTTGTATGCATCTCTTTCATATGGATTGTGTTGACCAATGGTTAGTTACAAATAAGCACTGCCCTATTTGCCGTGTAGATATCGAAACTCATTTAACCAAAGACGCCGCAACATCTTTATGATATTGCGTTAACGGCAATATCATTATTGATTAAATTAAAAATATGTTTGTTAACATATATATGTTTAAATATATGCATAGCATTTATATGCATATATATAAACATAAATATATAATATAAAATAACATGATCGAAAAATGTTTCACAAAATACAAAATATTAAAATTAGAAAAAGAAACTTAGATAATGATTCGCATTGTAATTTATTTAAAATTTGAAAATTCATATTTTGAAAAATTTACATTTATAGTTATGAAATATACTAGTTAATAGTTAAAATATCGTAACACTTACGCATACATTTATTTAAAATAAAGTCAAAGCAAAATAGATTGTAAGTAAAAAGCAATCGTACCTCAAGATTTTAAATGGTACGGTAATATAGGAAACTGTAACAAAAAAAAAAACAATAAAATAACGCAATATTACAGTATTACTTGAATTAAAGCTAACGAAACATTTATTTTCTTCCATATGGCCTGCTTTAAATATTAAAATTAATTAAATTTTGAAAATCTGTGCTCAGATGATGAATCAATTAGTGGTCCGTGCCTGATCGAAATTGAAATTGTAACTTAGTTTGAAATAAATTTTTAAGAAAATTCAAAATTTCATAAAGTTACTTAAACATTTATTTAAGTTTAAAAATTTTTAAGAGCAATGAATGTATAAAAAAATCTGGTTATTTTTAGTCTAAATGATGATCGTAGAACACTATCTTCGAAATTTCTTTAAAAATAATTATTCCAATTTTTTTTTTACTAAATGTAATAGCATTGAATTTACTATCTGTATTTAATCTGTAAATATGGGAAAGAATACTGTAATATTGTGACAAAAACCTACGCAAAACATATTTACCTGAAATTGTATTTACAAATATACACAATTCAAGCATTTTTTTTTTTTATTTTAGTGTAATATATTATACACGAATTCAAATCAAAGTTTGGTGTTAGTGAGAGTAACAATAATAATTCTTTTTTTAAATCAGATGGTATCTAATATTACAAAACATTTCAAACAGTAAATCATGTATATTTGTTGAACATACGTTTAATTTCAAATAAATTTCCTACGCTTCGATAATATAATATATTTGAATTTAAAATTAAAATAATAAAGTATTTATACTATAAAATTCAGCTTACAAGTTGTAATTGCTGAATTATATATTTCATATCGTATTGCTACAATTTTGAGACCACGCTATATGTACACTCATCCTTAATAACAAAATATGTATGATATATATGTATATGATTTTTTCAAAGAATGTTTAACGAAGCGCCCGTATTATATAATAAAAATTAATGGTTTGAATTTAAATTTTTTTTTTATCATCTTACATGCACACCTACATCATGTATATAGAAATCAATTGCAAAAACAAATTTTATATATCAATATAAAAACCTAATTTTTATATACATACATACATTTATATAATAATATAACATCAATGCGTGCTTTTGTATATTTGTAAATATTTTTATAATATTCTGTTTAAGCCATAAACCAAAGTTCTTAATTTTGTATGAGATTCATATGGGAATATAATATACTAATCAAAAAAAATATAACAAAAAAAAATTTATCATAATATTGGCAAGACAATTTTAAATATTTACATTATATGAAAATAATTAGTAAAAATCATATTTAAAAAACTTTAATGGATATTCTTCTAATTTTTTAGTTATAATGATTGTAAAATTATTAATAAAAATAGTCGTTTACAAAAAAACTATTAAATTTTTAGGAAATTTGAATTTAAAAATTGTGGAAGGTAATAAAATTTATTTTTTTTTTTTTTTGAGGAAAAAAGAATTTTTTAAAAAATTTTCTATCTTCACCAATGAAACCTAAATAAAGGAAAATTTTAAACTTATTTTACTGTACATATATTTATTTAAAATTTATTACAGTACCTAAAAGTAACAATTTTGATAAAAAAAAAACTGTTATATTATATTTGGCATTAAATAATAATTAAAATATCTACTTAATTATATATTTTTATTAATAATTATTATCATTATTAATGTTTTTTCTATTATTTATGTAATTCAGCGTTTAGACATTAGGTTTTTTCATATATATGTATATTTTATTTTTTTTTTTTATGAATATATTATTTTTTTGTTTATGAAACTTTACTGTAAAAGTAATTAAATATTTTTGTTTTACTCATACTAAAATAAAAAAAAATTACTATTCAAAATTTAAAAAGAGAGTTTCATTCTTTTTTAATAATTGGAAATTTATTTTATATGAGATGTGATATTTTTATAGGGTAGGTGAAAACTATTAGGTAAACGGGTGTCCTTCAGGAATCTGGAGCATATAGATAACATGTATATTTTATTTAATTTTTATTGAAAAATATAATTTTTTGAAAACTGATGATATACTTGACATATTTCAGCATTGACATCATTTAATGGGGAAAATTACAATAAAATTGTTTTAACGTGTAACGTAATCTAATTGTAATTAAGAACTTCACTTTTTTTTGTGTGGGGATTCAGTCCTCCCACCCTATGTCAGCCATACCTAGGTCCTTGACAAATTATAGCTATTCAGTTTTTATACTGCTTTTTTTGTTAAATTTTTCTGCCTTGGCTTTGATTTTGATTATTTGTTAACACATAAATTCAATATGCATAAATTTTAGATAAATGTAACATTTTGAATCAATTCGACATAAATAAAAACTGGTATTTTGATTTTCATTGCAATTTTTAAATAGCAAATTATATTAAAAAGCTGTTTAGTAACGTAAAATTTTATGTTTAGCAAATTTTAGCATTACCATAGTGCCCTGTTTTTAAATCGTAGGCTATTTTAAGTTATTATTTAGTTTTTCATGTTCGTTCAAGTGAAAAATATTTAAATTCACATTTTTATGCGAATTTGAATATTTTAAATTTTATTTTGTGGTAACTGTTATACATTTTTTGCAGCTCAAATATTTTGTTCAATATTTTAATGCAATTCACATAAGAAATAATATACAGAATTATTAAGTAAACACAATTTGTTTTAAGTTTAAATAAATAATTGTGTATACCTAAAATAAAAATATCTATGTATGTATATTGTTAGTAAATTTTAAATTTTTTTTTTTTGAAAAAATAGCACACAAATTCCTAAATATGTATATTCATTTTTCCTAAACATATTTTCAAACCGTTTCTGCCAACATTTTTTATGTTGTAAAAAATAAAAACAAAAAAGCAACATATTTGATGTTGTCTTCAAAAATTATTACTTCTCAGCTATCCATGTATTATTAGACCCATGATATAAACGCATCTTCCCAGATTTAATAATAATCTATAAACCTTTAATTAAAATAAAAAGTGATTCATTAAGTTTTTTTTATACTTACACTTCATTTGGTTATTCTAATGGTTTGGAGGTATCCTTAATTTGAAGCCTTTTGATTCTTAATTTATTAAAGTTTTCATAATCATTTTCACTCAGCATCAGAAAACTAAAAAGCTACAGAAGCTATTTTTTCTTTTTTTCGAAAAAATAAACAAATTCAATTTGAAATTTGATATATAAAATTTTTTCAAAATATTTTGTTTTCGTTTTTAAAAATTTCTCACGGCCTCAAACAAGAGTACGACTTGAAGAACAACGTTATTGCGATAACGACCGATTCCACATATAAAAATCGGAATAAAACGCATTGATTTCAAAATCAAAGTGAAAAGTTGACATCATATGCCTGTCAAATTTTCGACAATTTAGAAAAATACCCGACAAACAAATACGGGTACACGTAGTTAAAATTAGCAAAACTTTCGAGACATAAAAATTTCGAATAAATTAACAAAACTCCTCATCCTGTGTCCGAGCAACTACATACACAATACATTCAGGATTCACATTAATATTGTAAATGTCTTAAGCTATTAAAAAAATTTGAATATGTATACATACACATATAAATATTGAATCAACACCGAAAACCTCTTAATTTATTCCAACACAAAATTGATTTTTATTTATTTTTTTTAATTTCTAATAACTACGATACAATTTCGCCCATTAAAATTTTTCATCAATTTTTTAATATATAAAATTAGGGATAAAATATTAAACAATTAAAAGAAAAGCGTTATAATTTTATTGGCAAATTATTTCAAATTATTGAAAATAATTTTTGTTATTTACTCTGACAAATATGTATTTATTTAATAATTAACAAATATTTTATGAAATATTTTTATTTAACTGCTTACGAGACAATTTCAATGGATTATTAGTTAAATCAATTGAAAAATAATTACTTAATGATTATAGGAGTGTGAGAATTCTTTCATTTTATACTAATTACGATTTTTGTTTAAATTAAAAAGTTAATAAATATACATTAATGCTTATATTGTTTTACATAATGTTTTTCTTGTTGGAAAGGCTAAAGGTAAATTTTTTGCAAGATTTCTATACACCGGTTTTTGACTTTTCAAAATTTTTCAATTATATTTCTTTTGCAAATTTAATTGTGACAATTTATTTTTATCGTAGTTTTTCAAAACATTTTTTCGTGTTACTTCTTTATTATAATTCCTTTTTGTTTTTTTTTTTTTTTTTGGAAAATTTTTTTTATAGTTTCGTTATATTATTAATAATATTAATAAATTGGTAATAATATTTATATTCCTAGAAGTGAATTATTTTATTTTTATTTTAAATAATATATGTATATTTAATATTTTATAATCATATTTAAGTTTGTTTTTAATTATAAATTTAATTTTTATTTACTCGACAGACAAAATTAAAACAGATCAATCATCAAAAAAAAAACCAAATAGTTGAAAATAGTTGAAACTAATAAATATACAAAACATAAACAACAAAACTGCACTACCTAGAATCAGGAATTTCTTTTGAAGCCGCGGCATTAGCAGCTGTTGCTGCAACCACTTTCATTTCACGGTTTATTTTAACTTGTGATTGTTGTTGTTGGCCTTGGGCTCCACCTCCGCCACCAACACCAACGCCCCCACCAATCGCACCTAAACCAGCTGTTGGCAATGAACGCCCACGACGTTCTAAAACTACTGAAGAAGATGATGGTGATTTACCGGCTGTAGGTAGTTTTTTTTTATTAACCGTATTTGCGTTGTTATAGGTTTGTTGCTGCAAGGAATATTCATCAACAAAATCTTCTGGAGAAGTTTGTTGTTGTTGGTTCACTTGCATGCGGGCGTGCTGCTGAAAATCACCTAGCCCGGTGCTATTACCACCGCTACCACTGATACCTTTAAGATTTTGATTTTTTTCATCTTTTGTGTTAATATATTCGGTAGTATTATTCGCATCATCACTACTTTCATTATTTGCCTCACTATTTACAGTATCACCGCTATTACTTTCCTGCGACTCTCCACGCTCTTGTCCATCGTTGCGTTCATCTAACGAAATATTTGACAAAGTAGATAACATCAGAGCTTGGACAAATTGAGATCTGAAATAAAAAATAAATATTATAATTTAGAAAAAATAAATGTAAAAAGTTTGTTAAAAATTAGTTTTTTTTTAAATCTAATAATTTTCGAGTGAAAGTTTAATTGAATACGAAAAATTAAAAAAAGAATTAATTACTTAATTACGAATTAAAATTGATTTTGAAAATAAAAAGTAATCATTACCTATCAGCACGATGCTTTTCTAAAAGTTCCAACTCATCCTCATTTAAGGATGGAGTCATATATTTTGCTAATAAGAATTGGGATTGTGAATCACCAGCACTAGTTGGCAATCCCCCGCTATTATTTTGAAAACCTGTTGACAAACCTAAATTTGTTGCAGTTAGTTGCGATGAATTTAATCCAGCGCTTTCCCGATTATTAATAGAATTAACACCTATATTAGACTGGTGTTGCTGATTTGAAGATGAGGTGGATAAATTAGAGCCACCTGCAACACCAGATATGGTTTCTTGCATTGCAGCATTTACATTTGAAGTTGACATTGGATGAGCTTGGCGTCGTGGTAATCTTTCCAATTGTTGGCGTGAAGCCTAAGGTTAAACATTTAAGGGATGAAATTTAATTAACATGTTTAAAAAGAAAAATAATGGGAATAAATTTAATCATAAAACGACCCTTACAGAAACCTGCTGCCTTTCTAATTGTATTTGCATTTGTAATTGCTGTAATTGTGAAGTTTGTGGAGCTCCTCTTCTGACACCAGACAGCTGCGATAAAAGTTCAGCAATTGGATCTACTGACTCTCGGCCAGATGGTGAAAGAGCTGATAAACCGCTAGATGAACTGAAATGCATATTTGACCGGCGAGATCTCGGACCACCCAAAGCTCTGCCTGGTATGCGGCGTACTCCTCCATGGCGTATAGCAGATGGTTCGTCTAAAAATGAAATCAGATCCCGCGGTCCCGTTCTATGCTCCAATGTCAAATGACCTGCAAAATCATCTGTGACTAGATTTGGTTCGCCGCCTGGTAAACCAGCACATACTGGACAAACAACTTCTAAACCAGTATCAGTATGTTCGGCACTAACATGTTCCAACAATGTTGAGTCACTGAATCCCATTTTTTTACAATAAGGACAAGTAAAACTTTGCGGTTGTTCCGAATTCAGTAACTCTCCACCAAAATAGAGTTCTATATCTGAGCGAGTCAAAATACATTGCATTGGATGATCAACTGAATGTCTGGTACTTGTAGCTCCTTCTTCATAACAATCAGCGCATAAATCGTAATCATAACATATTAAACATTTATATCTACGGCCAGTAAAATTGCTTTTTAGACATGAATCGCAGCTGACCCCTAAAACAATAAAAAGTTTTATTTAGTGAAACAAAATATATTTGTTTATATTTAGAATGAAACAATTTTTCTTTGTGTTTTGTTTTAAGATCAGAACAATCAAAATGAAAACGTTGTAAGTTTATATATTAATTTTTTTCAAAATTTATGTAAATATTTATTTAATTTACACACTCAAAATTCCAAAAGTCATTGAGATAATTCGCAAAATTCGACTAAATTTCCTAAAATTTATTTCGATTTTTATTAACAATTGCAAAAATTCAAATTTGATATTGCTTGCAATCGTGCCAAAATTAATTACTAAACTTATTCAATAAATTTTCATTAAAATAGGAAACAAAGAGTCCAATAGATTCATTCTCTTTTTAGATATATTTTAAATTAATCATCTCATAAGTTTTTTATGTGATGGTGCATTATGTATATTTTTTCATGTATAAAATTTCAAACATGTAATCATAATACACATTACTTAAATTCATTCGAATTTAGTAAGAATTTTTTACATTTTACACTAATAAATATAGTACATAATTTATTATACAGTACATAATTTATTATACTAAAAATTTTGACTAGTTAAATTTAATCAATACATGTGCTAATTAAATAGATAAACAAATTTATTTTGAAGTAAAATTATAATTATCATTACAAATACAAATTTTATGTAGAGTAAAATAAAAATATATTATGTATGACATTAATATTTTATAGATTTTCTTATTATATATGTATGGCTTTTTGTATTACAAGAAATTATTTTTTTTTTAAATTTTACGCATTAAATGTCGTATAATAAAAATATCTTTTACACAAAAAAAAAATATTAAGTTAATCATATAAAAGATTTTTTTTCAAATTGCATCTTTAACTTATTTAAATAAAAGTTACCTAATTAAATGAGTACATATTACATTAGTTTTTTATAAATACACATGCTTATTAATTTAATGTACTTATATACATATGTATATCATATACATACACGTTCATACCTACTATCTTAAATTGTTCAATTTTGATATAAAAATTATTATAAATTAATTTGGTAAATGAAAATTTTAGTAATTACCTTCATGACGACTCATTATTCAAACCCCTCCTACCCACTTCGATATCCACCTTTATTTAATATTTCCTTTTAAAAATTTTCAAGCCTGAACTCTTGCGTACAGAAAAATTTTTCAATTTTGTCGAATAAACTTTTTCAAAAAACTTTTTTTTTAATTAATATTGTTTAAAGTTCATTTAACGCAATAACAATTTATATTTTTCAATTTAAAATATGTAAATATGTACGTACTCTTTCTAAAAATAAAAAAAAATTAATTTTTTTTTTCTTATAAGGATTTTGGAATGACACACACATTCACAAACTGACACTTCTGTCTATTTGCACATTTAAAAAAGAATACGATAGGTACTTGTCTCTATATCGTGATATAGTGTATATATTAGGTATTATATGCATGTATGTATAAAATAGGAACAATTTAACTAGAGGCTCTTCATAAATTTAATGCAAAAAAAAATTAATTATCTTCTTAATACAATTTTTGTTAAAAATTTGTTGCTGAATAAAATTTAAAGAAAATTTTACAACATTTATAACTATTATATGTATATTTCAGCTACGAAAATTTATTGCGAATTACTAAATATATGAAATTTATCGAAATTTTTTTTACACATAATAGACAAAATTGTACATGAAAATAGACAGCAGCCTAAGTATAAGGAAGTTATTACAAATGTGTGTACTTTTAGAAATATTAATTTTTCATTAAAACTTTTTTCAAAACAGAGTTATGTTTAGATAGTAATATTTTTATGTATTACTTTTCGTGTCTTTTAAATTTAGTTACACCAAATTAAAAAAAAAAAACTTTTTTATCCGACAAATGACTGAATAAACTTATAAATGTGACGTCAGGAATAAGATTTCCTTGAAAAAGTTGCCATTGTGTAATGTCAGAAAATAATGACATCTATAAATATTTCTAACGTGGCCAGTGTTATACAAATTTTGTTGTATTTTCATATGACATATTTTATTTTAACTTCTTTAATAAAGTTTAATTTATTTCTCTCACAAACGTTCAATACTTCATTAATTACGACTATAAGGATGTTGATCTAAGGACAAAAAAAGTAAAACAAACCATGTTTAATTGGCTTATTGTCTCTTTTAAACAACAAGACATTTAATAATTAAGCAAAAAATTTTTGAATTTCTTTATTAAAAATTAAAAAACTGTTTTCAACTTTTTAAATTACAACAAAAGACTTTTCAAATTTAATGTGATTTTTACATTTGACATACATACATATGTACATGATAAAAGATGTTGAACTTTTGAGAATTATATAATTATAAATATATACAATGTAAAATTATTATTTGATTTATTTTTTCGTCCCTTAACCAAACAAATACTGGTTTAATAATTTTCTTCATGGATTTTGACATAATTCAAAGTTTTGTAACCTAAAAATAGACTTTACAAATTGAAAAGGTCGAAACATTAAATTATATTATGGTATTAATATAAAACAAGACACTTCTATAATATCTGTAAAATAATATGTGTACATTATAATTTTCATAAAAATTATGAAAATTATAATCTATTCTGAAACCAAATTTATATGTACTTATAAATGTGAGTATTTGACAACAAGAGTTTTAGTTAAAATGATTTGAAAAACAGTCAATTTACACTAGGCAATGACAATCACTGTATTCATTTATACGGTGATTGACACCCGAACACATATTTGGCCGTTGAATGAAACTAATGCTGCAATTCTTTTTGTTTTCTACGCAAAATAAGGAAAAAATTGAATCATAAGGCAACCATGTATTTTATCCTTAAATCCTGTTATGATAGATTTTATATTCATTTATTATTTTAGAACAGTTTGTTTTTATAGCCGGGAACACTGTTTAGTTTACACTGCATTTATACTTATGTATGAGAAATTATTCGATTAAGCTTAAGCAGAAACATGTGTGGAAGATGCTGTTTGTAAATTTTTAAAAATTTCAAATATCATTTATTTTTTGAATACTTTCTAGAACTTTAAGCATATCTCAAATTCAAGAAATTTGCAAATATGAGCTCAAAAATGGTAAAGAAGCTGCTCCTTACATAAGATCCGAATACAATTTTGGAAGAAAATACGAACCTTCTTATAATATAGCTCCATCAGACATTACCCCTGTATTAGTTTCATCGGATCATTTTGAGAGTTACGAGAGAAACAGTGAAGTTAATGAAAATGTAAATTTAAGCTAATTTATAAATAGAAACTTAAACATCTATGCATATCTATCAACACAAGTTCATAGCTCCCTTTTTCAGGAAATGAGATTTTGTATAGTCCCCATGCTGTGGGGTATGATACCATTTTGGCACAAAGTAAATTATTATTTCATTTCTTATTTTAGATTCGTATGTAATCATATTAATACAATTTCATAGGGTGATTATAGAAAGCATGGCTTGACAACAAACAACTGTCGACTTGAACATTTGTTAGACTCCAAATTATACAAAGGTCCATTTATGAAAGGTCAGCGATGTATTATTTTATGCGAAGGTTTTTATGAGTGGCAAACTACTCAAACTGCTAAATCTTCTAATAAACCTGTGTATTATATTCATATGCCTCAAAATGTAAGTATTAAAATGTATGATAAATCTACTTGGGATGAAATTCGCACACTCAGATTATTAAAATTAGCTGGAATTTTTGACTCGTGGAAGGATGAAAATGGGGATTTGATTTATAGTTATAGCATTATTACTTTTGAGTCAAACGAAGTACTCTCTTGGCTACATCATAGAACCCCTGCAATATTGGAGACAGAACAACAGGCAATAGTAAGCACGCTTTTTATAGAATGATTTATACAAACTTGCAAAATATTTCACTTTAAGGATTGGATAGATTTTAAAAGAGTGCCGTACAAACAAGCTTTGTCAGTCATAAAACCACCCACTCATCTTTCTTGGTACAGAGTGTCAAATTTAGTTAACAGTTCACGTAATAAACAAGCGAGCTGCAATAAACCAATTACTGATGCTAAACTGGAAGTACGAGGTAATTTGCTAACAAATTGGTTGATTAATGGGAAAAGAAAAGAAGGATTAAATAGTATCGCTGAGAAACATGATTTAGATGATAGTCATAGTGATGCTGAGAATATTGATAAAATTAAGAAAAGAAAAACCTAATATAAAAATGTATGTAAATATTTTAAAGTAATTCAAAAGAAAGTATATTCACTAATTATATATATATATAAATTTCGTGAAATACTAAAGTATATTTCACGAAATTAAGAAGAACCAAAATAAAAATGCGTCAATCAACTGTATGTTCTTATATATACATATATATATGTAAGTTCAATTATAGAAATTCAAATTTTTTGTAAAAAATTTCTCTTTAAAGAAATTCTGTTTTTTTTTTTTCATTTTTTTTTCCCCCTAATGTTTAGAACAGTGATCAGCTGGTTTTATTTTGGTTACAATTTTCGTAGTAAAATTATTAAATTTTGATGTAAAGTCTGAGCGACTGAGTAATTTCAACGTGATGTGTAAACAGTCATCAAATGTTATTGTAGATTTTGTATGTGTTAACATTTCCTAAAGTGTCTTATATCTTAGATTAGATTAAACCTTAATCTCTTGAAAACTTGAGATCGAAATCTGGCATAGTTTTAATTTGCTGGTTTTTATCTCTTTTAGTTTTATCATTTATAATGTTTGCTGTCAAAGGTTTGAAATTAAAGTATAAAATGCATGTAGTGTGTACTGTAAATGCTCATCCCGTTTTATCTTATATTAAATTATAAATTTAGTTCGATGTGTAATTGGCACCTAAAGGTCAAAACATCGAACTTTTACGTACAAGAAGTTCAAAAGCTAATCATCTTACCCAGCATTTACACATACAAGTTACTTGCATGCAAGTTTGTATAATATTAATTGTCAATTAGTTGTTCGAAATGTCAAATTACTTGCTATTATGACGTAGGCGTTTAGCAAGTTAATTTTTGAAAATGTCTTTGAGAAGAAAACAACTAGCAATATATATAATTGTTTATAAATTTTAGAAACCATAAGTTTGCTAAGTTTAATTTTTTCAAAACAAAATTCAAAAATTTTAAATTAAAAAAAAAAATCAAAACAAATTTTTTTTTGTGAATTTCTCAATATGTCAAATTACTTGCTCAAATTACTGGCAGCAAAATTTTCTTGCAAGTTGAACTGCAAGTAAACAAGCAAGTAGAAATATTTCAATGTGTTAGTAAAATTTTTGTATGTATTGCAACTTTCTTGCAAGTAACTTGTACGTGTAAATGCTGGGTTAATCAAAGCCAACTTTTCTAAGAGAAAAAAAATTATCCAAAATGACAGTACCACCATATACGAGTAAAAAGAAGATTTATTCGATTTTTTTTATTCCCAGTTTTTGTTTTCAATATACAATATTTAGAAAGTACAATTGAAATACTACCTTTATCAAAATGCAGATCTAGCGTTATTAGTAGACGTTCATTAAAATAAAGATGGTTCTCCTCCTGGTTCTATTTTACTATAATATTTTAGCGCTGTTCAATCGCCAGCATTGTTTTTTTATTCTTTTCTTCTAAGCAAATGACATGACATAATTTGGCTGACAAATTTGTTGATATTTTGATACATTAACTTGGAAGATATTTTTAAAAAACTTTAGACATTAACAGACTGATTGTGTATTATAATTTTTTATTCACATTTTTAATCGGTTTTAATTCAGAAGCTCCTTTCAAACGGTATTAAATTTTAACCCAAATATCTTAATTAAAAATAACAAGTTTTAAGCTAATAAGATTTTTATTCGTGAAATACGAAGAAGACCCCGAGCGAAATGTCATATATAACGTACATACAATGAGGCTATAAAACTCCATCATCGAATATTGTTTTTATTTTTACTGAAAAATTCGAATCAAATTAAATTATTTTCTTGAGCAAAAAAAAATGTTAATCAATAGCGAAATTTCACAATGGAAGGTAATCGGATCGGAACGAAAATTGATCCAAAATTTACAAAATGGAATGTGTCAATTTTAGAGACTCGTTTTCAGACGACGGAATGTCTAATTTCTTCCATGTAGTAAAAGTCAAAATTGAAGAGTCCATCTTTTAAATAAAATTTCTCCAATTTTTTTGCAACTAATAATTGGCGAAAAAACAAAGTTGATATAAAAATTAAGATAAATTTGCAAAAATTTCAGTAAAGAATTAATAAAAATTTGCTGAAGAATGCCTAAAAATAAAGGTAAAGGAGGGAAAAATCGTCGCCGTGGTAAAAATGAAAACGAATTTGAAAAACGTGAATTGATTTTTAAAGAGGATGAACAAGAATATGCACAAGTCACAAAAATGTTGGGAAATGGTCGTCTTGAAGCAATGTGCTTTGATGGTGTCAAAAGACTATGTCACATCAGAGGAAAGTTAAGAAAGAAGGTAATTTTAAATAAATATGCATTATAAAAATTATGCTTTAATTGCAACGTCATTAACAATCGCACAAGTAAGCTATATGTATGTATATGTATATTGTATGTTCATCAAAATTTGTAATAAAGAAATTTCATATTGAAAGGTAATCATGCGCATATGTTTAAACCAAATCTATTAATAACGAAAATGTACTTTACAAATTTCTAATAGCTTATTTATGTTGAATTCTTTCTAAAATTTGCAATGCAACTTTTTATATGTATGTACGTACATACGTGTATACATATTTTCATTAAATCGATATTTTTTCCTCCTATACATTATATAGGTAATTATTACAATTAAAAATTTTTTCCATATATTTTATTCAAATACAATTCTTAACTATATACATACGTACATAATTCAAAAATTATTTTTGACTATTTTAGGTTTGGATAAATCAAGGTGACATCATTTTAGTAGGTTTACGCGATTACCAAGATTCAAAAGCGGATGTTATATTAAAATATACCCCCGATGAAGCTAGAAATTTGAAAACATATGGAGAGTTTCCAGAATCTGTGCGCATTAATGACACAGTTACATTTGTTGAAGACGGGTTTGATGAGGATATTGAGTTTGGCGACGAAATTAGTTCTGAAGAGGAAGCAGATTCGGTGGATGCTATCTGATCAAACTAGAAAAGCAGTATTTTAAATGAATAAAAATGGTTAACTGCAAAGGATACATATAAAATGGAACTCATTTTTTTTTTTATTTTTCGATATTTTACGATTTCAAAAAATTGTATGTAATGTATAAACAATAGACATAGTTTTTGAAAGTTGCATTAAACAAATCGCAGTTATTTTCCATAATCTCTACACGAAATAAATTAATATCTATATTTCATGGAAAAATACTGTTAAAGCAGTTTTTTGTTGTATTGCGGATGTTATTGTTTTATAAAGAAAAGCATTCGGTAGCATATTTTATTAATATCTATATTAGGTTTTTTGTTTATATCTTTGATATTTTTGTGAAATTCCTCTTTCAAAATCATAGTTTCTTTATTATATTTAAAATGAAAAAATAAATAAAAATAGAAAAATATTACAAAAATGAAATTGTGATGTTATTATTCTTGCATATGTACATTCAAAGCTCATAATATTTTTACATATTATAATTGGCGTCTATAAAAAAAAAAAAACAAAGCAGCATGTAAGTACATACCTACTTACATACATAAGTACATAATAACTTCTAAATTTTCTCTTTGTTTTTTCATTAGGTATTACTATTATCAACTTTAACGAAACCTTATTAAAATTTTGAACTGTTCCCATAGCACCTCAATTCATCTGTGAATTCAAAATTGTATTCAACGGATAATCACTTTGTAAAATAACGTTTTTTTAACTTTTCATAGTACTAGTACATATTACTATAAATAAAATAAAGTTGTTATTGCCGGCTGTGTTGCCTTATGAGAAGGATTTTATCAAAAAAACTAAAAGAAACTATCGTAATTTTTTGCTTTAATTTTGTATCTACATTATTGGTATGTATGTACATAATACATACCAAAATGCCCAATAATAGGTACCTACCTACATCTGTCTTGTTAGTTACCATAGCAAGGAAATTCACCTAAACAAACCACAATAGAATTGTTTGTTACCCATTTCAATTTTATATGTAGTTTACTTCAATGCACACAAAATCAAGTTATTGCATTTATTGGAAATAAATATGAACTATTATGATGAAGAAATTGAAATTAATCGAGAATCAACAAAAGAAACCAGTCATATTGCGCCTTCTACAAATTCAGCTAAGCCCTTAAAAACAGTTTGTATATACATACATACATATGTTCATATTAACATATTTTCACGCTATAAATTTTTAAATTTAATTTTCACACATTAAAGTTTTTTATTATAACTTTTTTTGTATAAATTGTTTTTTATAATTATATTTTTTTGTATTATGCTAAAAAAATATTGTATTTTGTTAAGAATGTTAAGTAAAACCAATTTTAGGTTTTATCGAAAGATGAAATTGCGTCGGTTGAGGGACCATCAAATAGACAAAATGAAACAGACTTGACCAAAAGTAATAACAATAATGTCAATAACATCAGCAATAGTAAAAATAAAGAAAACAAAATTGATGAGACACATATTGAATCATCTGAATCAGAAACCGACGAAGAAGCAACACAAAATGATGAAGTGCAACAAAAGAATTACAGCATTTTAACTTCTGAAAAATGGAAAAATTTACCAATTCCACAAGATTTGAAAGATATTATGCAAAATATTTTAAAATATGCTCCGCAAACAATAGAAACAGAATACAAATTACAACCCTTTATACCTGATTTTGTTCCTAGTGTAGGGGATGTCGATGCATTTTTGAAAGTATCTTATCCAGATACAATGGAAAATAGTAAAAAAGCAGAAATAAGCGACTTTATGCTTGCCATGGGATTAGTTGTATTAGATGAGCCTAGTGGACGTCAAAGTGATCCAAATTTATTGAGTATGAAGTTGAGATCAGTATTTACTAATTCAGCCATTCATAATATAGTTACCAAGGTGCCAACAGCACGCAGCACTAAAGACATTGATAAATGGATAAATGAAATTGAAGAAATTCATCGTGATCAATCAGTATATCGAATGAGCTCAATTGAGATTAATGATGAAATAAGCATTGATAGCTTAATGGCAGAATGGCCAAAATCTTTTGAAATAGCACTCAATGAAGAAGGTTTTCCCCAACCTGAACTAGATTGTTCATTGGAGAAATTTTTAAAAATCGTTTCATCAATATTTGATATACCAATTTTTGAAGATCAATCTACCCATTTTGTGCAAGCAATCCATGTTCTATTTAATTTGTATTTGGCTATTAATGAAACTGAGGATTTTAAATAAAATTTATGAATTAAGTATGTTAATAAAAAACAATCAATTGCTATCTAAATTTAGAAAAAAAAAATTGTCATCCGCTTCTTAAAGCAAAAAAATCCTCTGTTCGGAATGCTTTGGCCAGAAATGTAAAGTTATTGCAAACTTAATCTATTCAGCTGAGAAAAGCAAATTGATCAAGATTTTACTTTTCTTGTAATTTGTCAAAATTACTTATAAATATTGCTTATAAATATTGCTTATTTGTTATAGCGTTTTTATATTTATTTAAGATTTATTTCAAATATTAAATTACACATAAATTACGAGAATTACATAAAATTACATTTGTTTGAGCTTTATAATTATTTTTTAATTTTCTCTTACAAAATTTTAAGTCTTAAAAATTTTATCTTTGGAAAACTTAACACTTTATTTGCGTATATTATGTAAATGTAAAAATTCGTTGCATTGGAAATAGATTTCAATATCCTAAAATTAAAATAATTTTATAATTAAGGAATATATTTTGTACTATAATATAATAAATATATGTTATTATTTATTATATAGTAAAAATATATTAAATTATTACATATGTATGTAATAAATACAAGTACATTTTTAAACATAAGAACATTTAATAATTTGTGTAATAAATGAGTTATTACAAATCGGAGGATTCGTTCTTTAATAAGTCATGTTTAACTTTTACCGTTTCGTCTGTATTTCTAAGCTTTTAAACGTTATCTTGAGAATGATTTTATAAAAAAAAGAGCTGGTAAATTAGTAGGTTTTTTATAGTACGACAATTAAAAAAATGTTAAAACACACTTTGTCAAAAATGTTAAATAAAACTTGCTTTAAGTAATGTAAAAATTGTCTCATCTTGGTCAGTAGAAATTTCATTGACGAAAAAATGTTTGGGGATGAGTTTACATGAGATAAGATTGACGTACATAAATATGCTTATATTAATACTCAATTAAATAAATTGATTAAATATAAATATACATTTACTTTTAAAGATTCGTTTTCTGTTTCTGGCAGAGTAAAATATAAAATTGTTGTGCCATATATTGCTATAACAGAAAAAAAAAGAAATGTTCCAGTTATACTCAAATAGTTAACCATATCTAGAAAGAAATAATTAGCAAGAAAACCAAAAAAGAATCCAAATCCACTTGTTAAACCGGCCACATAACTTCGTATCTCCTCTGGGAATATTTCTCCAATTAATATCCATGGAATAGTTTTTATTCCTAAAATATAGCATTATGTTAATATAATATTTATGGCTTTGATTTAAAAATTTTTTGATTACAACCAATATGAGCAAAGAAAACTGCACTAAAAAGTAAAATTAAGGGAAGAAAAAGTAAATTATTTTCTTCTTGTTTTGGAATTTGGATTGTTAATCGTCCCTTTTCATTCTCAGTTATCTTTACCAATCCATCAACTATAAAATACATAAGATGAATCTTTACGTAAAATAATATATTTATATTATGCTCCTTTCTTTTGTAGAAACTTACATAATTCTTCCTTTTGCATGTTAATTTCGTTATTGTAATCATATTTTCTTTCAGTTTCAATAGGATATTCTCCAATTGTTATATTGGTAGTGTTGTATAAATTCGTTGAAAAATCATAATTTTCTCTTGATTCTACTTCTGTGTTTTTATTCTTTCCTAATTGATGCTCAGAATTATGGTTGAAAATTTCTGTTATATTTTTAATTGTAATAATATTTTGGTTTGGAATTTGAGCTACATCACTAACAACGTTGTCAACAGAATAACCTGGTATCTTATATAAAAAATAAGAATATGTTGCAGCTCCTTTTAGTTAAAAAAAAATTATATTAAAATTAATTAGGCATATTATGGTTATAAATAAATTGCTCTAGAAGCTATAAAACTTACCAAAAAAACAAATCGCTGTACCTATACTCGAAATAAATATTAATTTACGTTTTCCAATATATTGCAATAAAACAACACAAAATGAAGCACCTAATATTTCAAATAAATTTAATAACATAGTTGCTTCATATTTTTTTAAAGGCGCTTTCAGTGTATGAAATATCTGTTAAAAAGAAGAACAGTTACGTCATATATAAAATAAATAGAAATATGAAATATTAACTTACTTGAACAATATAAGTGCGCAACGGTGTCTTACCAGAAAAATGCCCAACAAAGAATATAAATAATATTAACATAAAAGGATACCATAAAATCTTGCGTTTTAAAATCGTCAGTTTTTGTATATAACAATTCAAGGCATTCCTTTTTTCTTCTATATTTTTGCTATTGATTAGGTGGCATTTATTGATTCTATCATAAATTTCTAAAAATTCTCTTTCGATCATCTAAAATAAGTAAATTAAATATTACATATGTATTTGGCATAGAAAAATATTCTCATTTCTATAGTATATGTATAAAAATACTTTATTTTACATTTTCAGAAACCCAGCCACGAAACCATCTCAAAGATTTTATAGCTTCTAATAAATTATTTTGACGAATTAGCCAAACTGCAGTTTCTGGTATAAAAAATAATAATATTATTGATATTACAGGAAACAAAGTTAAAATTGCAGCAACCATTCTCCAATGTAAAATCGAGCAAATATAATATTGAAAAATTATTCCAAGTAATATAAAAATGGAACCTGATGCAATTAAACAACCACGATATTTTGGTTCTACTGTTTCAGCAATATATAATATTATCTTATAAAGAAAAAGCCAGAAAGCAAAAATATATAAAAACAAATTTAAGAAAAAAAAAAATCATTAAAAAAAGTTTAGTTAGTTTTTTGTATTTGGAATATGTGTAGCTCTTGATTCCTTACTGCACAGTAAATTTTATATTAAAGATTATTTTATAACGTACTGGTGTTTCAATTAGACCGCAGCTTAATGATGATAATCCCAATGCCAAATATAAATGTTCTGGAGTTGTTGCAAAATGGTATAATAAAAACGATATTATTATTGGTATATTAATCAGCTAAAATAAAGAAAATATGTTAATAAATTAATTAGATAAATTTATAATTTTTTATGGATGAATTTTGTCCTGAAAGCAATTTGGTTTATGATGCGTTCTCGTAAAATTAATATCAAACTGCAATATTTCTCGTTATGTATTCATTTATATTTTTTTTTACATAATATTGATTGATGTTATGAAACAAGAATTAATCTATATAACTTTTTTGATTATTGTTCATCAATACTGTTCTTAAGCAAATTGGCAGACGGCAAGCTAAAATGCAAATATTGCAAAGCAAGAGAATAAGAGTTATTGTGATCAAGTTTGATAGAAAGTCAAACATTAGTACGATGATAAATAATTTAAAATGGAAGACTGTTAAAAATAAATTTAAGTATAAAACACTTTCAATAACATTTAAGTTAAAAAATGGACAATTACCAAAATATGTATGCATGTACAATATGTAGAAGCACATCAAGTTCGTAGGGGATTATTATTATTTAAGAAATAGGAGAGATTTTAGACTGCCGTTACTCGTATATCATAAGACAGGTACAGAAAATTCTTCAATGTATAAGAATGTAAAAAAGTTCCATTCATTGTCGATAAACTTAGAAAAAAAAACGAAACCAGAATAGGTATGCATTCAAAAAACAATTAAAAGGTCATCTTTCTTGATACATATTTCATGATATTATAATACTTATTGTAATATGTCTTTTAAGAGTTTCTATGAATCTACTAAATTATAAAATTGTAGAATTTCAATTGCTTAACCTTAAAGAAATGTAGAAATGAATGCGCAAAAAAATTATCATTCAACTGTAATAAATATAGTGTTCCATTGCTTATATGTATAATTAATTATATTTATGTAGAATATATTTTTTCTTATAAAAATCTTCAATACCTGTAAACCTCTTTTCTTTCCAATATATTCACAATAGAATCCAGATACAATGGAACCAAAAGGAACACATGTTAAACTGATCGTGCCTTTATACATATATAAAATTAATTTTTTTTTAGAAATAAATTTTTTTCGTAAAGTGACCAGTAATTTATTTTATTCAAAAGGAATCATATTTCTCAATAAAATAAATTAGTATGATCAATCATGTTTATATAATAACTCAAATGCTTACTCAGCCAAATAATTTCATCTTTATTGAGAAATAAATCATTGTTTCTATAGTTGTGACCCAATTGAATGGCCGGTATTATTACAATTGGAAAACCCAATACCATTCCATAAACTTAAAAAATAAAATTATTTATTTTGGATTTTTTTTTTAGTTCTAAACTATTTTAGTTGGGCTCTTTATTACCAATCAAGATCACATTATTAACTGATACAGCTATGAATTGCGGTAAAGCTCTTCGAAATTTCGATATTGGCTCTGTTTCATTGTTCATAAATGATAATTGATGATCACTTAATTGAGGTGTTTTATTACTAAAAACAAATAAAAATTATTTAATACGATCACAATATATTTGTAAAAATCTATTGGTTAGTAAAAGCAACTAGATTCTGTCTTACGCAATATCTAAAATATTTCTGTTACATATATTTTCTGACATTTTTAGACTTAATTATTTTCAATATAATATTTCAATAACTGTTTCTCTTTTATGTGTTTTAATCGGAAAATCATGTAATTTATAATTATTCACAATTCTATCCAGACTATATTTGTAATAATAACTTACATATATGTAAACACCAAAACAATATTTCTATACTGAAAATGATTTAATATCTTAACTGTTGCCGTCATAAATTTACACAATAAACAAAAACACACATTTTCCATAGAAAATAAAGGTTGCCGGTCAAAAAGCAAATATCAAAAGGCAAAAACCCAATAACAATATCTACTTACATTTGCCAAAAAATTTATAGTTACTGTAATTTATTTTTATACATGATATTGGTACCATATTATGTACAAAACAAATATTTTTTTTCACCGTAACGTAATAAAATCGTGTATTTGGAGAATTATTCCTCTATATTTATAAACATAATTGAATATTCGCCTAATAGGCTTTTGACAAATTGAGCAAGACCCTCATAGAAATTCCACTACAGTGTAGTAATTTGAAAATATGTATTTTGAATATTTAACGCTAATTATGTTAACAAATTTATCTTTCAATTTGACTTAACTTTTTTCTATATTATTGAACGCTAAAAGTTACAATGAAGTTGCCAAAAATCAAAATGGCCTAACCTACATTTACGTATTATTGTAAATGAAGCATTTTGAAAAACAACCAAATTACAAGTATTTTTAAACAAGAATTCTCTATATTTAAAATATTAACCTTAGTCAACGGCTTGCTTATTTCGGGGGTCCGGTAGACGTTTAACTATATTTTGTATACAAAGTCAACTTTGCTTTAATATGATAATGAATAGTATACTCGTACATTTGTAAATAGGTAAAATACAAATACGCCTCATATTATAAAACAATATAATAATATTGAATTATAATATTATTTGAACTTTAAATTTTTGTTATTTTGTTAGAGACACATTTCTTACATGTACACAAATCTTTTGGCATTTTAGTTTTACACCTTTTTTTCCACCTTCTTATTCTCTAAAAAATTAAAAGAGATAGGACGAAATTTGCTGGCAAACATCTGTAACAATTCGGTTACAGATACTACAACATTTTTGCATTTTTATTTAAATTAATAGCAAATGCATTTACTGTTATAGTGCGTTTGGTAAGTACTATAATAGAATATAATGCGGTTAGTCATGTACTGTTCATATCAGATTTTTTTATTCTATATAGATTAAAATTATTTATAATATTGAATTGTTAAACAGCATTGAAAAAATTACATAATTAACCCTATACTGGTGAAGTACAAATTTTCCTATTTCTTTTTTGTTCTTTATAATTCATCACTTTTTTTTTCAATTCTCTTCTTCTGTTACAAAACGTCAATTATTGGTCTCCTATATCTTTCACACTTTAAACTGAACTTCTACAGAAACAAAGAACTTCCTATATGAATTGTTCTTTAATCATAAAAAATGTTTTCATAGTAAACGGTCTTAAGTTTCGCATAAATTCATTAACAATAAATCTTTATGTCAGTATAAATTTTGTTACTAAATGTATGCAAAATTTAGGTAGGCAGTGTATTTTTTTCCTAAAGTTCAAATCTATAATGTAATTGGACAATGTATCCCAGTAACATACATATTAAGTTGAACATTTTTTACATAAATCTATTACACATTTTACATTTATGTATGTTTACTATATAAAAGAAAATTTTTATAACTTAAAATTTACCATATTACATTTGAAAATCGTAGTTGCATATAAGCAAAAGTTATTACAATATCAACTAAAAAATATTATAGATACGATTATGTATTATTATTTCATTTAAATATAACCTAAAAAAAACGATTGATTATCCTTTAGGGAAACATATTATAGCTATATATATATATATATATATATACTTATATGTGTAAAACTTTTTCGATAAATAGTTTTTTCTTTTAATATGCATTATATATAATATGTATGTGCATAAATGTAAAAATTGTGAATGTATATTACACTAATATGGAAATTTTTTGCGGTATTTGACTTACTTAAGTACCTATACGTTATGTAAACACGAATTCTAATAATAACGGGTTTGTATAGATTATGTGTTATGTATAAGGTGTATATTATTTTGTGCATTTATACATATTAACATACATATTATTTATATGTATTTCACTATAATATATACATTATGTTCATACATATGTAAGTATAAACTCTAAGTATAGTACCTACAACATTATTATATAAAAACTGATTTCTGTTTCAATAAAAAACGCGCCAAAAAATTATTTTTATTGATTACTGACTATATGAAAAATTTAGAGTAACTCATAAAATTTATAATACAAATTTCGTAGTTTTATAAGAACATTAAAAAAATTTATGTAACAATTTTTTTTTCATAAGGATAGAATCAAAAAATATAGGAACACTCCTTGAGGAAGTATGGTTAGTATATGGTGCACGTTTATTGTGGACGTTGCCCGATTGATGAACAGGATCAAATTAAGTCGTTTTTTGCAATAACTGCAATGTTTTTTTATTACCTAAAAATCATTGCATAATAAGAAAGTTTAAAACTAAAATTGGGTCATTTATCATTGCCACTAGACATGATTCAAAAATATGTACAAAATTTCTTTAAATTTTGTGAAAAAGTGCATGTTATAATGAGGTGTCCATTAACAAAATATTTTGAAATAAGTATATGTGTATGTACATACATATGAAAGAACTAATTTTTTACTCGTGTAGTGAAAGTAACAATGATATCTTATAAATGGCAAGAAAAACTTTTTTCACTTTTTTCACTTGCTCCATTATTAAGTATTTGTTTTTCTTTTCTTATTTTTTTATATATATAAGTAAATATGTATGTATACAAATATGATGTATTTTTTCCTTATTTAAGTATATAATAGATAAAATCGTGGATATTCTGTTATTTAAAGAAATATATAGTTCTACATATTTTAGGTTCCTATTATTTATTTAGTATTAATTTAGAAATCGAAGGATCCGGAGAAAGTCAACTTCAAAATAATAAATATAATGAAAATAATATTGTAAATTAAATTTTTAAAAAATTCAATTTTTGTTTTTACTTTCATCCGGAAAATAGAAGTTTTTTTTCGTTTAGACAATTAATATTATTACTTATTCTTTCAGAGAAATTTTTGGTTTAAATTTTAATTTCGTAAATTTAATACAAGGATTTTGTAGCAAAGTAATTTTTACTTTGAAAAAGTGATGTGAATTTTCGTTTCCGTTTAGTCAGAGAAAAAGAAAAAAAAAATAAATTATAAAAATCTTTTCTAATTAAAATAACCAAGTTATCTAAAAATTTCAATCGTTTAAGCTTTAATTATTAAAAATTTAACATTTAAATTGAGAATTGTTTAATAAAGAGAAAAAATGTGTGACGGGTAAGTAAATATTATGCACATGTGTTTAATTTCTTCCTTATATAACCGTAAAATTTTTAATAGTGGACACAACTGTTTCGAATGTATACTTATATAGATGCTTGAATTATTTAAAATGTAAATCTAAATTTCCAAAATGAATTGAACTTTACATTTTCAAACTATATAGTATGTACATAACATAACATAAGCAATTCATATAAGTGTATATGTAATATGCATATCTCACTTTTAATATATTTAAAATTTAAATATTTTAGGTCAAATGAAACTTGCCTGAAACCAGCTTTATCAGCTGATAATTCAAAATATTGTAATATACGGCCGTGTTGTTCAAGACAAGATCCATGTCGTTGCGTACAGTCTTGCTGCTATAAACAACCGCCACGCGTACAAAGTTTTAAACCAATAAGCAATTACAGTAGACCTACAGAAAAAATGGAATGTTGTACAATATACAATAGATCATATTTTCCAATTAGGGATGATATTTGCCGCGCAAAACCTATTTATCCATCAAATAATTTATGCTCATCAAGTGGTCTTCACGACATGAATACAATACAAAAAATGTCATACCAAACTTATTCTAATATACCCCGTGCACAGCCAATTTTACCAGCGCCGAATTCTTTATCAATTCGAGAAGGACCACAATTTATGATAACAACACAGAAACATGATTATGTAGCTAAATCAGTACCAAAAGCTCAACCAATATTACCATGCCATAATATTAATAGAACATGTGCTGCACCTTTAGAAAAATTAACAATAAACAAATTATCATTTATGCCAATAGATATAAATAAGTTCCCTAGACCTAAACCAATTATACCCATATCAAATTGTAAACGACCTGCAGGCCCAATAGAAAATATGACAATACAAAAATTAAGTTACATGCCAGTTTCGATACCACAAAAACAAGATTTACCATGGAAAAATCCTCCACGTATCGTACCACCATCATATCCATATAATCAAGGTACAACATATAGCCTTAGTTATATGCCAAATTGTAATATTAAAAAACCGCAACCATGTTTACCAAATGAATGTGCTCAATTATTCGGAACTGAAATACCAAAACCTTGCACAGTTTATAATTTAAGTTTTATGAATAATAAATCAACGAGAACTCAAGCTATAAAACCTGTATCCAACTTGGTAACACCACAAGGACCTTTTGAAAGTTGTACTGTTTATAAGGTAATAAAAATAAATTATTTTAGAACATTATTATTTCCTGATATTTTAAATACTTACAAAGATACAACACTAATATTATAACCTCTTTTATTGGCATTTGCTATAAAGGATACATAAAAAATTTGTTTACTCTTTTTAATATTCAACACTTTCATATACATATACTTATGTACATAAAATATTTGGAGAAAATACTATTAATCAGCATACACAATAGAAATTGTGTTATTTCCGGTATTTTACAAAATTAACATTTAAATAAAAAATAAAGGAATTATTCTTCTAGGATTTGTTAAGGCATGCAAAGTTAAAATTTGAATAAAATATACTGTGGCATTTTAATGTATATGACCTATATAAGTTTTTTAGTAGAATAATTTATAATAACATGAAAATATCCTTATAATTATAAAACAAAACTATAATATTATGGTTAGGAGTAGGTATACTTGTCCATAAAACTTTATATAGGTACGAGTATATAATATGTATTATAAAAATTATTCAAATTTACACTAGTCCAATAAAGCATGTTTCCGCAATTATAATTTTGGTAAAAAAATAAATATGTAGTTACATAAATACATATGTATATATGTATGTTTTGTTGTTTTATATGTTTGTGAAAAAATCTACACTATTACCTGCTTCCAACGACGCAATTTAAATTCTTTTAAGCAAAATTGTATGAATATAAATATGCAATATACATAAATGTAATATGTATCTATATTATTAAATATGTTGTTAAGTATGCAAGCAGTAAGCCTATGTTGTATTCAAAAGTTCATATAATGTAATTGAACATATTGTACAAACATATGCACAAATGGATGTATGTATGTATTCGAAAATATAAAATGTAGATTTGTAACGGTAGATGCCTACAATTTAAATAAATTGTCTGATTGAAGTATAAATTCGCAATGCTTATTAAAAGTTCACACCACTACAGAACAGAAGAAGAACATCGCGTAATAAATATATTTGAGTTAGATTAAAAATATGTAAATCAATCGCTCCTTCATTGGAAAAACGGCTTAATTGATTTAACTTATTACTGAACAATGTATGAGTTTTAAATAAATTATTGCAAGTGGGAAAACTAAAAATAAAAAATATTTGCACTTAGGCTTGTAATTTTAAGAGTATATTTCGTGTAAAGCGCGCCAACAAAATATAATATACCAAAAAAAGGAAAATGTATTATCAACAGCCTTTACAACACAAGTAAACGTGATGCAAATCAATGTAAATCAATGCAACACAAGCAAACGTGACTAAATTCACAAAATTATTTTGAAGTTCCAAATTTATATATTTGGGCTGCTGCCTCTGTTGAGGGCATATTTTATATTACACATAAATAATTACATATAAGTTTGAATACTAGTTAATTAAAATTATATAATTTTTTAATATTACAGTTATCTTATTTACCAAATGGTTCCAAGCGAACTTTACCAATTTTACCAATAAATAATCAAATCAAGAGTAATGAATTAATGTCAAAAATAACAACACAGAAGCATGATTTCACGGCTAAACCATATAGCAAGGTAAAAAAATAATAATGTAAAATATTTTCGAATTTTTATAATGTACTTTATATAAGTATAGTTGAGATATACGTAATATATATATTACTATATATATATTATTAATTAAGATTATTATTATTGACATACATACATAATTTCTTTTACTGTTTCAGCCATCTCCCATTATCAAGAGTCAAAACATTCCCCGTTTGGCTGGTAAAACCGAACAGTATACCATCAATCGTTTATCATATATGCCATTTGATGTTTCGAAATTTCACCGGCCTAAACCTTTGAAACCAGTAGAAAATGTAAATTCAATGAATATAATCAAATTTTAATATATTAAAGCATTCTTTTAATTTTTTTAGCCCAAATGCCTACCACCACTTTCAATGCTTACGACATATAAACTATCTTATATGCCACAACAAATTACCACGAAAGAAACATTTCCTTGGCAAGAAAAACCAAAGTATAATAAACCTACTTTGCCATTAGAGTGTCTTACTATACAAAAACTTAGTTACTTGCCTCCAGGGAGTTTTAATGGCAGTGAGTATTTATGAATATGCATTTATAATATTTAAAAGATTTAAAACATTTAAAATTAATTTTAATACTTTATTAGATTGCAGTTGTTCTTGTGAGCTTAAAAATGCAACCCCAAATTTTGCAAGAGCAGAAATATGTTAAATTACAATTTACATGTATGAAGAATTTGTAAATTTATACATTTAGTTAATCTTTAAATTTAATTACGACTTGATTTGTAAGCAAATTTTTAAGTAAATTTTTGAAACAAATTCCTTAGTTTTATTGAAAACTAATAATATTTTTATCACTTGAATTACGTCCCCAAAATAACCAAACAATACAACTCCTACAAAATATTTTAAGGACTGAATGTTATTTTCTTGAATTCCTAAGAAATATTGAGAAGAAAAATTCAATTTTTTAGCCAGAATATGATCCATATTAATTTGCATTTTCTTAAACTGTGTTTCACTAACAAACGATCACTATATTCCATATGTTACTAAAAAAAAAGACCTTAAAAAAGAATCATTAAAAACTGTTTGGATAATATTATATATATTAATATTCTAATCGTACATATATAATGACAATTATAAAATATTATAAAATAATACAAATTTATGATGTTTAAACCTGCTAAACTAAAGTTTTCAAGTATGCATAACTTTATTTAAAAATAAATTTTGAAATTTATTACTTAAATGGTACAAAAACAATATTTTATATTAATGTACGTATATTTTAATAATTATTATTTAATTTTAAAATTACAACAATTTCCTTCTTTCCAAGTCTATTAGCATCACATTTCTAACACTTAACCTTAATAATTATAATAAAATCTTAATTTGGAAATATAAATCCATTTATTGATCGGATATATTAATGCAGCGAAAAATCATTTAAAAAATGAACATAACATAGAAAAATGAAGTTATAATGACGTGAGTTATTTTATGACATAGGACCATATCTTAAATTATTGTCTTCATTTGTGACGAGATCTTGTTCTGAATTCCTTCTAAACTGCCAAGGCCATCGTACAGATTCTCTAAAACTTTCTACTAATCTTTGTTGGAACGTTTTATACTCTAAATCAATTGAATTCGTATCGCCAAAATTAAAATCTGCAACTTCAACCGAAAACCTAAATGAAAAGTAATATTAATTATATATTGATTCACACAACATTTTGAAAGCTTTTATACCTCTCTCTATTATGAATGTAATAAGCAACTCCGAATACTACTGTGATAACAGCCGCTAAGCAAAACGTAACTGGAACAACTATTACGGATAACTGTGTTTGTTTTTTCGCTACAGAAATAAAATTACATAATTAAAAAGAGTTTTCAAATTACTTTCAATATTCGAATTATTCAAATTACAATATACTCTTATTTCTATTTACTATTAAAATAAAGTTAATTTTCGTTTAATATAGACATCGCAAGAATAGTTACTAGTCAAATAATGGTTGCAGGAATAATTATAATAATTATATATAGAAATAAAAAAAACAATTTTATTGAAATGTAAATTGACCCAGAGAACAGTATAAAATATGTCATATGTGTTTAAAAACAAGAGCACAAGTTTCCAAATTGGATTTAAAATATTATTTTAAAATATTAAAATCAAAAAATAATTTTCTAGAAAATCGGATAAAAACACCTACCTTCATAGAAATTTATTGTTGCTTGCGTTACAACTTTACTTATCGGATTTTTGACAACAAACAGTACTGTTTTACTTTGGCCTGAGCAATATCGTTTGAATGGAATTTCACAAGCCTTCAGCGAAATCCAGGTACTGCACGTCTCATTTCCGGTAACATTGTATGGCCCTGTAATCAGCAATACTTATGTACTTATTAATAAAACATATTGCAAAATAAAATAACCATTCATCAAATGTATGCAGTATTCCAAGGGCGAAGATCCATTGCAAGAAAATTTCAAACTTAAAATTTCTTCCCTTTTCAACCAATTTTTTCCAGATATAGTCGTGTTATTTATTGGAACTAAAAGAAAAGCATTTAGTTAATAATTTAAAAATTATAATCAATTACTAATTTCTAACTTTTTGCTACAAGTTTAGTTCGAAAATGACCATATATTTTTTTTGGATCGGGCATAACATCTGAATTGTTGCAAACGTAGGGGTGATTACTTAAAGAATTTATTTTTACTGGTTTATATTTTGAAATATTTTTTTGAAGTTGTATTAAAAGTTCTCCTTCTCTAGACGAATTCTTTACTATGTCGTAATCGCTTGCAACCGTTAAAGTTGAATTTGCTTCTGATCTACTCAAAATATTTCGTTTCTGTCTTTTAGAATTCTCGATTGCTATTGAGGAAGCAGTTGTATTGGACGAACTTTGGACAGAATCAACGAGAGAACTATTTGATGGTGGAGAAGTTTTTTCAGTGGCACTTATTGGTTTAGGGGTTGTTGTTGTCGTGGTGGTCGTAGTTGTAGTTGTGGTAGTAGTTGTTGTCGTCGTAGTTGTAGTTGTAGGATCTGGCAAAATGTCGAAAGATCCAATAACCAAAGCTTCGATGTCATACTCTTCATTTTCAATAGTATAATTATCAATAAATGTCAATCCTTCTGTTTGCCCAATATATTTGCAATTTTGAAACCAATAAGTTGTTATTGTTGTTGCTTTTTCGTTTAGGTAATTTTCAGTCGCTACGTCAAGTACGACTGTGTGATTAACTGCTTCTTTGGTTGAAATGTATTCGTTATCTCGGATTGTCCCATTCTGATCTAAAATCAAATTACCCTGAGCTAACGAGGAAACATTAACCTTCACTTTTGCTCGCGCAATTTCATATAATATTAATATCTTTTTATATGCTTTCACGGAAACCTCTATGGGCTGATATCTGCTCGATTCCTTGTAGTTAACAGTCCAATTCGAAATAGATGTGTTCGAAAATATTTCCTAAAAATGATAATTGAAAAAAAAAGTTCACGCAATTATTTAAAAAACTTTATATCAATATCAGATCTAGTTTTGATATCAAAATAATCAATACCTTGCTTTCATGACCAGTATTGTCTGACCACACAAAATAAACATTTTCAGCATGAACAATATTATCTTGATAAAGAGCGGCTGGAAAAAGTATTTGCATGTAACATTCAAATTGTAAAATAGTCATACACATATAGCAAAATACCTGAAAAAGTTATATTAAATCCATAAATTAAAGGTCCAAAATGTGTAATTTTGAGGTGATATTCCTGCCCTAATACTGAGAAAGAAACAATATTTAATTGTATATTATTTTTTAGCTTCAACTATTATACCACATTCTGTTTGCAGTAAAAACACTACAACGCAGCATATTTTTAATAACATTATTTTAATTTGTTCTATAAAAACATTAAAGTACGGCACAGTATTATTAGAAAAACGTATTTATCGAAATTTTTCTCAAATAAAATAAGAAATCATTCTTTACTGTATTGAAATCAAATTTGACAATTGGTTGACTTTCCCTATGACCAAAAGAAAAAATAACTGTGTTCATGATATGTACCATACTAACGCCATTATGACGATACTAATGCCAAAATATTTTTTCTCTATACAATTACGGCGGCAAAAATTATTTAATAATTTATGTATTTTCTTTAACCTAAAAATCCTCTTCTGAACTAACTCTTTGAATTATCCTTTTTTGAACTAATTGTTTTTTATTTTTTTCAATCAATTAAACAAAAAATTTGTAAAGTTTCTGTTGTAGCAAGAGTGGAAACACTAATAAACAAATAAAAGTATTTTATCAAAAAGCAAAAGTAAATGTGTTTAGCGCCTAAAACCATACTCTTTTCTTGAATGTAAACCTGTATTAAATTTTAAATATGTCTCTACAGTTTGTCCTTCACGTATTTAACAAAATTAAATTTAGTGTCGTTATCTCATTGATAATATATAAATTTACAAATAATAAGCTTTGTTATGTATAAATTTTTGTTCTTTTTCTTCAAAAAATATTATTAAAATTTTGGCAAGTTGTTCTGATTTAACTATAAACTTTGAAGCTGTCAAAAAAACATACTTCCATCAGACTTTAGATTTTTTCATATACTAATATAAACAATACTTTCGATAAAAATACATGTCTAGACACAGTGATTTATCAACGGTAAAAAAATGCTTATTTTATAGGTTTCCATATTATGAAAATTAGAAAGGGGCATTTTTAACATCAGTAATCTTCAACGATTTTTTTAGAGCATGCATACATGTGCACATATTATATAAATTTATCTCAGCATGATGTTACAAAATTGATTTCAAAAAAACTTCCATTATTTAAGTTCTTTGAATCTATAAATCGTTTCTATTATAATAGCTATTCCAAAAATTTGCCAGAAAACCTGAACAATATTAGACTCAAATAGGCTCAAATATACAGTATATAATTATATTATTTTTTTATATTTTTTTTAGTATATATTAAATACTGTCAACGATAGAAGTTTCGCTTATAAGAAAGGTATCATGGCGTTGGTAAAATTCTTATACCATACTTTGAAAGGAGAGCGGCAGGTAGTTGCTAGGATTCTATTACAAAATAAACATTGGACTGTTATTTCAAAACGTTCATCATTAAGATTAGAGCATTAAGATCTCACCGCATCAAAAATATTTTAAATTTGATTCTATATGTTGAAACTATGGTGAGTTTGTTTTAAGAATATTTATTATGTTATATTTATATACATAATGACCTTTATGATACAAGTGACAAAATTCGGAATACATAAGTATAATATTGATGTGTTTAAAAATTTAATTAATACTCTTACTATTTAAGAACATTTTTTCAATAAAATTTGCTTTTAACTTAACATGCATGTGTAATCACCAACACTTCAATCGAAATCTTACTTTTTACCTAATAGCGAATTAATTTGCTTATTTTGTTTCTCAATTTTAATATCAACATCTTCAATTTTATAATTCATATTATCCAACAAGTCATTCTGAGATTCAATTTCATCATGCATGTTTGTAGCCAAGCCCTTTAAGCGGGAAATACTGTTAGACATTTCATCTAAATTGTTTCCCAATCTTTCTTCAAAGGCATTTCTGGTGCTTTGTGGCCTTTTGTTTTCAGTTAAATCACTTCTTAATCTATTTACTGGATGATTCATATAGCGATCATCGTAAGATGGAGAATTTGTTTGTTGCTGAAAAGCATGACTACTTCCCGATTCAGAAACTTTGCTTTCAGTTGGAGAGCTAGCAGTCCTGTTGCTTATTGGCATGTCACTCTTCCCTTGAATATAATTTTTTAAACTACCAAAAACGCTTTTCAAACCATTTAAATGTTTTTGGCTAAAACGCAATGTTGCATTAATTTCGTCTAATTGACGATTACTTTTTTCAAGTTGCTCACGTTGCTTTGCTAGTTCTGCAGCTGTAGCTTTTCCGACTTCTTCCGTTTCATATAAAAGTCCTAAAAATTTTTTTTTTATAAATAAATTTTTTCGTTACGTGTTTTCCTACCTAAACTACGATCAGTTGAACCTAAAGTTCTCTCTTCAATTGCTCTTCGTTTTTGTTCATAAATTCGCCTTTGTTGTTCAAAAGGATTAGTTGACTGAACTTCTAAAGGGGAGGAACTTTGACGGGAATTTGCTAAAAAGGTTTCATCATCAATATCATCTTCAAAAATATTATCGGGATTTGTGATATATTGATGACCTGACATTGTTATTATATCAGTTAGCACCTTTAACAAAATTTGATTTTTGATCTATATAAGTTACAATCTCATTCAACAAATTATTAAATTTTGTTAAGTTCGTTTGACATATAGAAAATGACGTTTTAATTTTAGATTAACCCTTGCGAAGTAATTGGCCATAATGTCGGTGTTTATGTCAGTGGATTAAAGCTCGAAAAATGTCAGATCACACTATCAGTCGTGGCTGACAGAAGTAAGTTGTTTTAACTGAAGACATTAAAAGATGATGAGAAATGAAAAATATGATATACGAGTACATTTGTACTTTGGAGAAAACAATTAAATAAGACGCCTTTTATAGCGATACAAAAAATTTGTATAAAAAAATGTTTTTTTATTTTTTGCGACTTTTAAATACAAAAAGTTGCAGAATAATTTGAAAGATTTAAAATGAACGTTAATTCATGTTTATAAAACGCATCTTTCCGACAACAGGACAAAGCAAAACAGCAAATCGTCGAATTTGTATTATCAAAGCCTTGACGTAACAAAATATCTATCAGCTGTGATCAAAACCGTTAGCTAAAGGATTTATAAGTATATAAATACTTATATATAAGTTCTGCTCAAATTAGGATGAATTATCTATTTATAACACATTATATTGAAACCCGTTCAAGATAGAAATATATGAGTAATTAATAATTTTTTTACAGGAGAACTTTATCTTGGACAGGCTTATAATATTGTTGTACATATTATAGAGCATTGTTTACAAAATTTAACATAAATTTTTGATACAAAATAGAAAATGTTTATCAAGTTAATTTATGATATTTATCATGTTTCTTATTTAATTTTAAATACTGAAAAAAATTTGTTTTTTTTTTTTTAAGTGTTATATATTAAGGTCATATTTTTCTTTTATTACCGACTTGCATTGTGGGAACGTCATCACGAGATCAGGGGCTAATAATAGACTAGAAAAAGTATCAAAAGACTTAATTTCTTAAATAATTCCAATTTTTTACTGACAATTTAGACAATATCATTTAAAAGTAAATATAAAAATAAATTATTTATTCAAACGTCTCGTTGCTTTGCGGATGTGTCTCTCGGGAATCGGTGCCGTATTAAAACTATTAGTCGAATTATTTGCTCCAAATATATTACTGCCATTGTTAGTGTTTCCAGAAAAGTTAAAAGCAGATTTGCTTGAATCTGTTCCTGTCATAACATTGCCTCCTCCGAATGAGAATACGTTCCCTCCAGTATTACTTAATCCGCTAAAGGAAAAAGCTGAATTGCCGGAACTATTGCTGTTGTTAACGTTGTTGTTATTATTTGTATTATTAATTAATTTATTACTGTTTTGCAGACTATTGTTATTGTTACCAATGACATTATTGTTGTTAGAGCTATTGTCAGGAATATTTTTATTTGTATTGTTATAGCTATTATTATTATTACATGTATAATTGTTACTGAAATTGTTTAGGCTGGCATTCGAATTATTTGAAAATTGATTAAAGGAAAATTTTCCATCACTTGGTTTTGCAGGATTGTTGAAAGAACTTAAATTACTAGATTGATTATTAAATGAATTTGTTACACTGTTTCCGAACGTATTAGACGCAATTTTATCATTGTTTGAAAATGTACTCATATTATTCCCAAAACTATTACTACCAAAAATGTTTGATTGGGGATTGATTGAATTTGTTGTAAACGTATGTGATTTTTCCTCCTCCTTGACTTTACCAAATGTGCTTGTATTTTTATTTTCTCCAAAAGTGAAATTTGGGGCTGGATTGCTGTTTACTGAAAGAACATTTGATGAAGAACCGAATGAAAAAACTCCTGAAGGTGCACTTGAATTTGCGTTTGATGGATTTGTGACATTATTATTATTATTATTATTACTATTATTATTATTATTATTAAAATTAAACGTTGTTACTGATTTTTGCAATGAAGTATCATTTGTTGTACCAAATATTGGCATTTTATTTTCTTGCACCGGTATTTGGTTGTCTTGTTGTTTTACAACGTTATTATCAAACACATTAATTGAGGAACTTGAAAGATTTCCAAATAAATTTTTAATATTTGATGATGCTGAATTAAATGTATTAGAACCAAAAACAGTGTTTGTTTTATCATTTGAAGAATCCACACTTTTCAGAGGCAAAACTTTTTGTGATGTGTTAACATTTCCAAATTGAAATAAATTACTTTGGGGATTGGCATTACCAATATCAAACGCAGGTGTAGCTTGTTTTGTTGTTGATGTAAAGGAAAAATTTGGAGTCGTTTGATCTAAAAAATTTTATCAAAATTTTATGTATAAGAATTATATTTTATCTTAAAAATCAATTTACCATTTCGTTGAGAGGTAGTGAATACATTAGAACTTTCATTCGATTTATTAGATAGGTTATTTCCGAAAGAAAATGTTGTGGTTAGTTGATGATTAGATTGTAAATTTTCATTGTTCATGTTTGATGTTGGTGCTGTCAAAGTGTTTGTCTTAGGATTTTCGCTTATTTTTGGTAACTGAAACATATTTGAGGTACTTGTTATAGGTGTTATATCATTTTTGAAAGCAAATCCCCCCTTTGATTGAGAATTTGAATCTTCAGTTCGATCGACAGAAAATTTGTTTGAGTTAATGTGATCAGCAGATCCAAATAAAATTGCGCCAGAAACTAAAGAACTGCTTTTAGTTGTTTCTGGCTTCAGAGTAATTGCAGCAGCATGATTTGTTTCAGCTAAATTTGGTTTTGACTGTTGCGACATTGAATTTACGTTAGAAATCTGTGAAGTTTTATCATTTTTATTAATTACAGATAATATAGAAGTCCCAGCAATAGGTGTAGTTCCCTTTTCATTATTTTTAGTTTCCACCACAATTTTCGAAAATTCTTCATTATTGCTTTTTGTACTCGAAACTCCATTTGACATTGGTTTCAAATTTAATATCAACGAACTTTGGGAACTTGGTTCGGTTGAGGTTTCGTTTGTCTTTTTACCAAATTCGAAATTTTTGGAATCACTAAGGTTATTTGAAGAATTTTTTAAATCAAAAGAAATAGTACTGATAGTTTTGTTAGAATCCAAAGATTTAAAACCACCTAAAATTAAAGAGACTTTTATAATTTTTTCAGAGCTTTAAAAAATAAATATATTACCTAATTTTTTTGCTGTTCCGGATTTGCTAACGTCCTTTAAAATGGAGAAATCTGATTTAACATTTTTATCTTTCGTCACAGTCATAGATTTTTCACTGCCTTCTACATCCCCATTTTGAACATTTACATTTTTACTGTCTTCAATTTTGCTTTTCTCAGGAAGCAAATCATTGTCAACCTCATCTTGATCTTCGTTTAAATCTCCACGCAACCCACTTAGCATGAGGGCTAGTTTCGTTTTTTGTGTTTTTTCCATTACAGCATTTTTGGCAAGATTAATTCCGATAGAAGTTAAATTTTTTGGTTTCACAAACGATATTTTTGGTACTTCATTTTCATCATCATTTTTATTTATAACTTTTTTAGCGTTATAATTGTCCGAAATTTCATATTTTTTGTTGAAAAGTGTTAATTTGGGCTTACAATTACTCGATTCAGTAAAAGTTGAATCAGCTTTAATAACAGGTTCCGACCTTGTCCTACAAGGTTCTGCGATTTTTTCAGGAAAACGCTCCATTAACCTAGAGGTATTAGATGAAAGTACTGAGCCTTTAAAATGGTCTATGGTTTCGCAATTCTTTTCAGATTCAACATTTTGTTTACAAGTTTGCTTTTGCTTTGGTTGTCCAAAGTGATGTGGTGTTTCCCCTGATTTTGATATAACATTTGATGATAGTTGTTCATATAATTTTCGTTTTGGCGATAATAACGATAAACTTGAACTTAGCGAACTGGTAAATTCATTATTAGTTTTCCGGTGTCTTATTAAATTTGAGTTACTGCTTTGACCATTATTAGGGATTTTAGCAGTGGGTGATACTGATGGAGATGTTAATTCTCTATTTCTTTTTATACAATTTTTTGTTTGAACAGCAAGGTTAGAGTTTTGGTGAGATAATGATCCAGTCAAGTTTGATGGCAAATCATAGCTCGATTCCTTACAATATTTCTTAATGCTGTCATTAGAATCAAGCTCCTAAAATATATTTAATTAGTAAGGTTAGCATTACTAAATACCAAAATTAGACTGAAAAAACTTCTATATAAAAATATAATAAAATAATTCTTTAAAGATATTTCTTTGAGGAATACTTACGTCGCTGTTTATTCTTTTTCGTGAAATTTCTTTAAGCGCTTCAAGAACACTTCTTGTTGGTGCTGTTTCAGAATCTGCAACGGGATGTAAAATTGGTCGATTTTCTCGCGCAATATCATTATTTGCTTGCTTTAGTCCTAAACTGACAGTAGGAACAATTGATCCTGTTCGTAATATACTAGATCTTGAATTAGCTTGAAATACGGATTTATCTACGAGAAAATTTAATAAAACTAAGTAACTTATTTATCAAAAAAATACATACCTGGTGGAGCTATACGAACTACAGAGATACTATTTTTATTTCGACTGTGTTTGTATGGTATTTCATTTTTTTTTAGGTGAACGACGGGAAACTGTCCTGGCTTATACAAGTTATTTATCGACAAACTTTTGTGTAATTTTCTGCTGTTCTCGTAATATTTAACTATCCGCGATGTTAACCCTTGACTTTGAACATCAGTATATATTCTTTTGATATTAAAAAATTGATTAGTTTCTTTTATATAATATTTAAATAGGTGGACTGTTATATATATATATTTTACCTAGGATCTAATTTCTGTAGTCCACTGTTGTAACCAGATTTTTTTAATGGCACGCTTGTATTTTTGGAATAATTTTGAGAATTTTCGACTTTTAGTGGTGAATGAATTCCACCCCATGGAAATTTTTGTTGAAAGCTATTTTTATTTTATAAATATTAAAATAAATCGTTTTATTTTAAAAGAAAAAAATGCCAACACTTACTCTACAATATGGGTCGATTCAGCTATTGGGCTTGATAAGTTTGGAGAACTCAAACTTAATCTTCCACCTAAAGAACTTCTTCTACTCATGTTACATATATTTATCTAATTTTTATATTACAGTTTTTCATACACTTTTAATTTCTTTGTTTTGCGGATAACATACAATTTATAATAATTAAATGAAAAATGTAACTCTGCTTAAAGCGTGCTTCCATAAAAAAATTCTGACAGTACACAAGCATACCATATAATATTTGACTCAACAGTTCCCAAACAATCATAGTTTAAAATTTTACAAAGTAGAATTATATGTTTGCGTATATGACATCAATGGTAAGAAATGATTTGTTAAACGAATTTGTAATGCTAAACTTAATGCTAAACTCTAACGTTGTCAGACTCTCATTAATTTGACAATACAATATTTACATTATATAAATATATTATGATAATGGGATATTTTTCTCATATTATTATGTTTTTTAAACATATTAACGTATTAATTCTTTTATATAAAAAAAATTGTATTCTTGTATATAATAAAATAGTTTGTATATTAAACGCTTGAATATGTATTTGGGATTTTTTCGGTTTTAAATATAATATGAATATAATATGAATAATTTCGGTTTTAAATATAATATGAACATAAAAATAAATTAATTAATTTTTGACAACGTCAAAAGTATGTTAATAAATTAATACGATTTGCAAAAATAAATGAAATAATTATTCTTAATTAATAATTACGAACTCATAACTCATAATAATTTATATTATTTGCCGTCAAACACATACGACTTTTATGAAACCAAAATTAAATCTTGGATATTGTCCTATATGTAAACAGTACCTTATTATTTTTTTTCTAAGATAACTGACTTAAAAATTAATACAGTCTCGTGAAGGGGGCTTATAAGAATGTAAGATAGTTTTTGTTTTTGATCTTGTTTCCCAATTTTCCTCTTGGAAGTTTGTTGATTGTTCAATTAATATTTCTCAAAACTTTACATTAATTGCTTTTCTTTTTCATAATAAAAATACTAAATTTTCGAGCTGGAAAAATTTTATTTGACGAAAATGTATTTCTAGCATAATCTAAAAATGGGAACTTCAGTGTTTTTCAATTTTATGTAGAAGATTTTTTTTGCACTGTTATTAATACGTCTATTATCTGTAATAGTAAATAATTTTAATTCCTTAGTCTAAGCATCATAACGCCATTTATGTCGACACAATAGACTTATTTATCTAGCAAGTCCATCGTAAACATATCGTGAGAATATATGCATACTGTTAAGGTCTTAAAATAAATACTTTTTGACATATCAATTGTCGATTTTCATGTATTCATGAGCAAACTTACAAAATTTGTTGTGTGTTCATACATATGTGCATAAAATGTTTATTTGAAAAATAGGTATTTAAGTATTATAATTTCTTAATACAAAAATTTACTCAAATTGGTTTGGCACAGAATTTTAATCAAAAATAACTAAATTTAGCCAGGCAATCAACACCCACATTCGTTAGCGAGTTTCCCAGAGTTAGAAAAAATTTATGTAGTGCTTAATCAATAAATATGTATTACATAAAACATTTTCGCCCCTTTGTTATTTGTGTTGCACCATTTTTTGATATCACAACCGCCGATAAGATTACTTCGAATCGGACTAACGAAGAATTTCAAAAGAGAAAACAGTCTTCAGAAACTGGATTGGACAGAGTTAAAAGAATGTTTAAATTAGATGAACATGGAGCTATATCGAATGAACTTAATTCCATTCATCAAGCTGGGTTTTTGGGGTTTTTGATTGGAGCAATCTATGGCGGTGTTATTAATTCAAGAAAGGCGTATATTGATTTTATGGAAAATAATGAAGCAACTGCTTTTAAATCTCACTTAGATGCTAAGAAAAAGCTTCAAGACCAATTTACAGTTAGTTTTGCTAAAGGAGGTTTCAAATGGGGTTGGCGCATTGGATTATTTACAACATCATATGTTGGAATAATAACCATTATATCGGTTTATAGAGAAAAATCATCAATTTATGAATATTTAGTTGCTGGTTCAACAACAGGAGCTATTTTTAGAGCCAATTTGGGATTGCGTGGAATGGCTGCAGGAGGAATAGTTGGTGGTACTTTAGGAGGAATAGCTGGAATTATTTCACTACTTTTAATGAAAGCTTCTGGCACAACAATGGAAGAAATCCGTTATTGGCAATACAAATGGAAGTTAGACAGAGATAATGTTGTCAATGAATCAATTAAGATATTAGAGCCAGATAATCAATTGATTCAACATCACGATAGAAAAGTTAACACAGTTGACATAAAAAAAGTGTAAAATACATGATTTAATCAAAAGCATTTTCTATCAATTTTTTAAGGGTTTTTATCATTTACTTTTATTTTAGCAAATTATCTATATAAAATTATTTTGTATTTAAAACCTACAAAAATTAATTTAGATCTTCATAATTTCTTTATCCCTTGAGGGCGTCTTGCAATCTCCGGCGTGCGGATACAACTCTGTCTTCCTGACGCCTAATATCATCATCTGAAACATTAATTGCTTGCATTAAGGGCTGATCTGGATTAATATGAACACCAGAATTTGTTAACAAGACTTGTCGGTTTGCAGTTTGACCAGTTATAGGCTTATTTGAGACATGTAACGCAGTAGCCACCGACTGTAATACGGTTTGTTCATACACGTTCGGTCCAACAGCGCGCATTCCTTTTGGCAACTCAATTCTACTGAACTCTTCTCCTGCTACACTGCAAGCACGCATCCCTTCCAATCTTTTTTCCCAAAATAATTGTTTTGGCTTATCTTGGTATTTAGAATCATGTTTAACTTTACTCGAGTCGTGGTTTTTAATCACTGTTACAGGTTGTTTAAAAATGGATGCTGTTTGTCGTATGGGAGGTACAAGAGATACATCTGTTCTTATTCCTCGACTACAAAATTTTTCAATATTTTTATTTATTCAAATAAAATTAGTTTTATTTTCGTGCATGTTTGTACATAATATAAAAATCGTAACAAGACGCATTTAATTACTACTTTATATATAATTTAAAATATTTAACTCACTATATTACCTGTAATAATACAAATCAGCTTTGGTATTGGGAGGATTGTATGATTTTATATTTGGTTCTTGTTTACCAGCAGACCTTCTTTCAATAGTAACACTAGAATTCATTCTATGCAAATCAATTTACAAAATGGTCTATAATATGTAAGATGCTACAATATATATAGTAATTTTTGGCCTTTTAGTGATGAATTGAATATTTAAATACAGGAAGCACAAAATATTGAAAATGTCTTTTTGTTTTGCTTTTAATTCAACCCAATAAGTTACAACAGTTATCTGCTTTATTTTCTTCTTGTTCGTTAATAGACTAAAGATATCATAGGCTAACTTTGATGTAGTGGTAGAGAACTATCCTCGTCATAGAATTATCGATACTTTTCACATATCGAAATAATCGATGTTTTTCTTGTTAGTGGAGTTATTTTTTGACAACATAAAAGTACATGTCAGGCAGGTTTACAAATCTAACAAAATTTGAAAATTAGTCGAATCTGTATCTATAAATCAAATTTGATACATGGTCAAATTTTCTATCATTTTAGTTGTTTTTTACGACATAATTGAATGGAATTATGTGTGTATGTAAATGTAAAAGTTGCAATGTATAATATATTAAAAACAATATTAAAATAAACCATTAATAAGACTAAAATTGAAATGAAATATTTGCATCTTTAATATTAGAACTATCTTTTTGTTCTTGATCCATTTATTTTTTTTTACATCATCCAACGGCAGTTTGAATTTGTTTGATAACTCCCCATACACCTTTTACTTTTTATTTGAGTTTTTATCTTTTTTTTTCATGTTCTAAGGGTTCCATCTTTTTTCGAATTTGAAAATAAATTGTATTTAATTTTCGGCACACAATTTATTTTTACTTATAAACATTTTGAAACACTAATACGCAAAATTTCAAAAATTTAAAATTGTATTACCGTAGAAACTCACAACACAAATGAATGTTCTGTAAATAGATAAAAAAAGTTCAATCAGCTGATCATACTTATAACACATCGAAAATTTTAGTACATACCATTTTTAATTGTTTCAGTTAAAACTGGTGAGTACTTTATTATTCATTTAGTTTAATTGGATTGGCTGTTTACAAATCAAATATGTTTGAAATTTTGATGGTTGATGATTAGTTTGAGTTTTTTGATTTTTTTTTTGTGATTTATTTTGAAAAATAGTCGTAATACTACACTTGAAACGTATCGCTGAAACGTATAAAATCATAAATTGAAGTCATCGAAAGTAAAAAATTTCCGAACCCTATTTATAAGTTTTCCTCCATGTAAACATAGAATATATACATAATATATAACTATGTACATGCGTTTCAATTGTCATTTGTCTAAAATTATGAATTTACTGAAAATTTAGATAAATAGATAAATAAGCATAGCGGGTATCAAATGAACAGATAGGAGTACATTTATCAGACGGGGCTTTTTGGAAATATTAGTGCTAAAAAAGCATTTTAAAATGATTTTAGGAGCCGTTCTTTATGTATACAAAGGAGAATGGGGTCTTCCATCTATCGACTTTGATTGTTTGCGCACTTTGGTAGCATTTAACTGAATAAAATTAAAATACACACATACGTAATTTTTTATTAACCTATAATTTTAGTGTGCCGTTAAATTTACTAGGGCCCCAATAGAAATCAATACATCGGGAAATCCACTTTGGTCAGGAGTTGGAAAATTACCATATTTAAAAATAGGGCCACAAAAATTAGTTGGGTACAGGAAAATTAACGAATTTCTTAAAAGTGAGGTAAGTAATTGTGCACTTTGTTTACACTTTTATTTTTAGATTTGTCGGTAGGTGAATGACCAACAAATGAAAAATCAAGGGAGAAATTAGTATTTATGTATGTACATTTTTTTTAGGGCTTTTCGCTTAATTTACATTTAAATACGAAACAAAAGCATCTTTCAACAGCTTATGACAATTTTGTTTTTCAAAATTTAAATGCATATTACTTCTATTATATGTATGGAAATCCTTCAAATTTTGATACTACAAGAGCACTTTATTCCAAGAGGACTCCGTTTCCCTTCAATTTTTATTATCCTGGTAAATATTTCCAAGAAGCACAAGATGTGATCGAAGTATTTTCAGACTTTCACATATACGAAAAAATAGAAGACCATGATACGGAAAAGGTAAGTATTGAAAGTATAGCTAAAAAATATAAAAATATTTTTGAAGATTTATTGCAGATTTTGTTAAACGCAAAGTGTTGCATTAATTTTTTATCAAAAAAATTGGGTAACCAAATATGGTTTTTTGGAGATCATTATAGTGAATTAGATGCCATTGTTTATTCTTATATATCTATTATTTTTCATGTGTCACTGCCCCACAATCCTTTGCGAGATCATATTAAAGAATGTAAAAATTTAGTGGTCTTTATTAATCGTATTACCAAAGATATTTTTCGAGATGAAGGATATATGACAAAGTCAAATATCGCAACAAGTCCAAAAACAAATTCCGGTTCAAATTTAACAAAATCTGAACACGAATTTGCAGATAATAAAACGAAAACACAGATCTTAGCGGCATTAGGAGCTTGTGTAGCTATGGGTACATATGCTGCATATACAGGTTTACTTAAGGTAGTAAAAGTACACACATATAAATAAATAAGAAATAATACGCGTTTATTTGCAGCTTTCCTTTGATCGCGATTATCAACAGGAAATTCCAATTGAAGAAGAAGATGAAGTTGGTTCTGAATAATACATAAACACACAATAACAACATTTTCTTCGTTAGAAATTTAATATAGTTAAAAATTTTAATTATTTAAAATTTTTTTTTAACGTTATAAGGTAGTTATTGAATTGTTACAAGACTTAAATACTACGTATGCATGAAAGAATGTTTACATGCCTGTATATTTTATTTAAATGGGTGTGCCTATTTTTGTTTTTCTTATTTTTACACAGTTCCTAATATTGTGACCGAACTCTTTAATTGAAAATAGTAATTTTGAAATATAAGAAACCTAAATGAATAATAAATCATACATTCATATATATATATAAATTACGAATTTGTACTTTGAAATTTTCAAATATGGGACAGTCAACTACATTAAATATCTTGAATCTCATTACTAATATATTTTATAAAAATAAACTTCAACATCACAATAAATACATGTCTGGAAATTACAAAAATTAAGTTTAGAAAATGTTGGCTTACCTTTCAGTTGGATTACGCGAAAAACATTAGTTTAAAAAATATAGAGAAAAAGCATGCCTTAAAATTTTATAAATAAAATTGTAAGTTACAGCCACAAAAATGATTCTTAAATTATTGTCTCATAAAAATCATTTTTTTTCTATAACGACCATGAAATTTTCTTTAAATTAATAAATTAAAGGTTTTATATAAAAAATATTAATAAAATTTAAATAAACAGTCTGACCTACTTTCAGAGTCTTAAATGTTTTTTTTTGACTATTTTTGTTTATTAATTAATTCTTTTTAAAACACTAACATTTTTAAGAAAAAATGATTTATTCTTCAACACTTTAGAGACTTTAATGGCTTTGAATTGATTTTTGTTTTTATTTATCTAATCAATAAATCTTAATTAAGCATTATTATGTGTGTTATTTTTTATTATTTGCATACCTATTTATTCATATTGTTGTGCAGTAGGGGAGTAACTTCTTTGAAGTAATAGAAAGAGTTTTCAATGATCGTTAACAATAAAAGCAAAGAAATTTTTTTTCAAATATATTAGATCTTCGAGATATTTTACATTTCTACGTCAAAATGCTGGAAATATATACCTACTATATTCTTAATTTTAGTGTTATTACGAAAATTACACATGTAGATCGTATTTTTCTTTTAAAACTGTAAATTCGAACTTTTAAGTTTTATGTACGTACAAGTTACATATAGGTACGTAATCAGTTAAAAAAACAAATTTTTATCACATAAAAACTGTTAAACTAATTCTGTATTTTAAATTGAAAAAGCGTGTTTTTGTTTTTTTGAATTCTACTTGCAAATAATGTACATAGTTACATAGATATATATTTATCACACATCTTCAAATTTAATCTTGTAAACAGAAGTAACACTACAAAATGTAATCGATATAAATTTGAATGTGCGAAAATATGTAGTTTAATACAATTTAAAATTTTACTTATAATTAAGTTTATATTTTTTTTAGACTTTTAATAGGGATGCCTTGGTGGCATAGGCATAGGCATTGGCATGGCCATTGGACCTATAGGATAAGGTATATTAGGTATTCCGCCAGTTGGATAGGGTAATCCACCACTTGTAGATAAATTGTTGAAAAAGCCTGTTGAAGGAGGAATATAAGCGCTTCCGCGATTTTGGCCCTTTTGAATAATTTCAGACATTTTTTCTGATTTTACTTTGCGCAAATGCATTATTTTTCGCAAATTTAGAAATTGATCTAAAAATGATTCCAAATTTAGTTCGTTATCTAAAAAATCCTTAACTAATTTTTCTGATTCTTCTTCACATTCTGCTGCTGCAGTTTGCAGAAGAGCTAAGGCAGTATCTTGGTTGATAGTCACAGATTTATTTTCTAAAAACAAATTAGGTTCAACAACTGGTTTAGTAAAATTAGAAATTTTTAAAAAATATTTGTTATACTTACTGAATTCTGTTAATTTTTCTTGCACAGAACTACATAACTCTTTTCCTTCTTGCGAAAGCTCACTTAATTTTCCCTTTAATTCAATTATTTCAGGTTCTTTAAGCAAATTGCCTTCAGCAAAAGTTCGATTTTCTTCCAAGAGTGATGATTTTTGTTCTTCTAAAGATTTGAGCTACATATAAAAATTTTTGTTTTATAAAGAAATTAAAATAAAATAAGCAGTCGTGAAGTTTTATATTTATTGAGGTATTTTTTGGAATATTTTTCGAAGTTATACTATGTTCTAATTATTTTTCTCGAATTGGAGTTTAATCTCCATCTGTATTCAGAAAAATGTTCAAAAAACATTTCATTGACAAAACTCTATTTGGAGAACATTTCTATATATTCGTGCCAATCGTGAATTTATATTTGTAAATTACGAAGATTACTCATTGAGAGATTTTAATTTCTAAAATTCAATGAGAATAACATTCTACTTGCAATTTTCAATTGAAATTTTTCCATTTAGCATAAATTGAAATTCATAATTGGCACTATTGTGTATAAATTGATTAAAATCTTAAGAGTATAGATTAGTACTTGAAAAGCTATTACCGAAATTTTAAAATATGTAGTATTCTATCCATTCGCTTCTTAATAAAAATAAATTAACGAACAAATAAACAAAAACACTTACAGCCTCAATTACCCGTTCTTCCAATTTGTCGTCATCGTTCAATAAGTCTTTCAATTCGTCTGAAATTACATTGTTCGTAATTTTTAACAACTTTATAATATTTCTTACCTGAAGATAAATTTGTAAGAGATATTTGCAATTGATTCATATATTGCTGATACATTTTAATTTTGAAATATCACCCAATTATTTTCTTCGGAGTTTTTTTTGATAAATGATAATTAAAAATATTGACAATGACAAATTTGTAAAAACAAAGGCTTCTTGACAGCAATACAAACTTATATTTGGTGACATCTTGTGTATGAAATAAGCACTACTTCTCTTAAAGGAGTTTCAAAATTCACAGGTATGTACATATTACTTTCTTATCAAATAAGTTCTTTGATAAAAAATATATAATTTGTAAATTGTTATCATTATTTACCATAGATTAAACCGTCCACTTAGCTTAAGTGAAACGAGTACATAAGGCTGGATTCATTTGTTCTTCGGTTTAACGACGAGCTAAAGTATTTTGTATGAAGTTAACATTCTCTTTAATTTAGGAAGGCACCTTACTTAAACAGCTTAAAAAATTATACAATAAAAACATAATAGACTTACTAGTTTATATTTGGTGGGTCTATTGAAACTCCAACATTCATTTCACAAGAAAACATTATAAAATTAATAAATAAACATAGGAAAAAACAATGATTCAGAAGTGTCATACCACCAGGGAGCTGCCAAAATATTAAATAACAGCGTTACGAACTTTTGATTTTTGTCATTTTTGTTCAAACGAAAATGAGATTGACACTTCTGGTACATATATATAAGTATGTACATAAAATGTAGTTTAGTTACTCAAATAATATGTGACGTTATTGAAATAAAACTAGATAAAATTTTTTGCTATTTAAGAGGTATAAAAATTGTAATTTTTAAAATGAATAGCTTAGGATGGACTATTATTTTCAAAACTGGATGTTGGTGTGCTAAAGAAAATATTAATATAAATGGAACGAGATATATTGTGAAAGAAAGATTAGCTGAAGGGTAGAAATAAGAATAATGTTTTTTTTTTTAATATAGTTATGCACTTATATAAATGTATAAACATTTTAGAGGATTTAGTTTGATTGATTTGGTTGAAAATTCAATAACAAAAAAGAGTTATGCTTTGAAACGGATATCCTGCCATAGTATTGATGATCAAAATATTGCGCTAAGAGAAATTGAGATTTGCAAAAAAGTTAATTCTAAAAACGTTATCAAAGTTATTGATTATATGTTAAAAGGTAACAAAGTTTTATGTGAAATTATGTGCATATATATCCATTTACTTTCTTTAACAGGTACCGCAGATATAGTTTTAAATACGACTAGCCAATTATATATTGTTTTGCCTTATTATAAAAATGGATCTTTAGCTGATAGTTTAACGGCACGTTCAAAAACGAAAGACTATATGAATGAGTCGCAAATTTTGAACATATTTCTTGGTACGTGCGAAGGTGTAAAAGCTCTACATGAAGCTAAGCCAGAACCTTTAGCTCATAGGGACTTAAAGACTGCGAATATTTGCTTGTCCGATTCATTTGAAGCGGTTTTAGTGGATTTAGGATCAGCAACAGAGGCTCGGGTACAAATATGTGGACAACAAGACGCGCAAAGGCTTCAAGATTTGGCCGAAGAAAGGTGTTCTATTGTTTATAGAGCTCCTGAACTTTTTTCTGTACAAAGTTATTGTACGATTGATGAAAGAACTGATATATGGGTAAACTTTGTAAAAATGCATAAAATTTAGTTACCGTATTCTTTACCGTAGAGTCTCGGCTGTGTCTTGTATGCGATGTGTTTTTTCAAATGTCCTTTTGATATTGTATATGAAAAAGGGGATAGTGTAGCTCTAGCTGTGTTAAGCGGAAATATAAATTTTCCGGATGATTCCATATATAGCCAAGTAAAATAAAAAATTGTATTAAATTTACAAAGAATATTTATGATGTGAAATTCTTTTTTTTTTTCAACAAACAGGATATGCAAGATCTTATATTATATATGATGAGATTAAATCCAATGGAACGTCCTTATATATACAGTGTTATTGAAAAAGCACAAGATGCACTTTCAAAATTGGAAAACCGCTTATAATTCAAATTTTCTTTAAATACGTATATATATATATATATATATATATAGGTTTCAAAAATATTTTTAATATGTTTGGTTAAATTGTAAAATTGTCGTGTACAAAACATTAAAATATGTAAGATAAAATATTTTATTTCCATTTATGCTTGTGCGCAGCTAAAAAAGTTAACTTTTTATAAAAAAAACTAGTTTACATATGTAATTTAAATAATTTGTAAGTAAAAATCAAAAAAAAAGAAATGAAACAAAATTTAAAGTTTTAAATATTCATAAAAATTTATTTGCTTATTTGGTATTTTTCTTGAAATTTCTTCACACTTTTCAATATAAGATGATTTAGTTCTGGAATTTTTTTTTTTGCCATGGGATGATGTAGGTATTGGTATTTCAGGATTGAAAGCCATCTCAGAACTGTCGAAAGTGCAATACAATTCTTCAACAGACCTAAAGCGATGAATAAAATCAACTTTTGAATTTATTGAAAAAGTCGAACTTACAGTTTGCCTACTTCCGATAATAATTTATCATTAACCATAGACGGACCATCAACAGTTGTTATATGTGCTGCAAATTTTCTGACTGTTGGGTGGTAATGGTGTACTAGTAATGAAGTTTCATACAAGCATGTAGAATTTGCATTACAATACTCAGGATCATCTAAATAAGGGTCATATTCACCTGACCCAATATTGCAATCGGTATCTAATATTGTATTCAAAGACGACAAATGAAGCAAGTTTTTAATGATTCCTAGACAACCTAAGGTCCCGTTGTGCAGTAAATGAAGACTTAGAATTATTGTACGCTTGGCAAAGGCTGAGAGTCTTTGAGAAGAAATATTTCTCCTCCTTTTTATTAAAACATTATTTAGAATTCTCAGCACAATTTGAGCATCGTTATGAGATACACCGGCATCTACCTTAAGTAAATTACTATACAAATGCCCATAGAACCTTATTGGATCTATATTTAAAATTTCTCCTTGTCCAGATAATACAGCGAAAATAGTTTCTATGCAATGCAATTCTTCCCGGTATCCCAGATTGGACGCATTTAATAAGCCATGCAAAACTTCTATGAGATCGCCAAAGAATTCTAAATTGATCACATGTGCAAACCTAAGAAAAAAAGGGGTTAAAAAAAAACTATAAATAAACGTTACTATGATATACTCAGCCAATCCTTCAAGACAACAACTTAGAAGTTTTGAATTCGGATCATTCTTTAAAATTCTGAAATAAACCGTAAATACCATTTTCGTAATTTCAGTTAATTTAAAATGCTTTGTTTGTTTATTTTCTTCTGCTTTCGTTTCTTGTAATTCTTTATTCAATTCACGTAATTTTTTTTGCCTTTTCCTCTCCTTCTTTGACATATTCCATAATCTTTGTCGGAAATTTTCAAGTTTTTTTATCTTAAGTTCATTTTCTTTCTCTGCGTCAAGATTGACGTTTTTAATTTTTAATGACATAAAACATGTTATCATTTCCACATGCACGTTGTTAGATTTTGATTTAATTAGATGATTGATTCTGCGCATTATGAATAAAGTCATATCTAGTCGCTTATCGGTTTCAAACAAATTTCTGAAGCATTGATTGACCTTCTCGCGTATGCTCTTGAATTTGCAATTTAGCATGTAAACTAGTAATTGCGCAACATTTTGAACATAATTGAAATATGGATGGGAAGACAAAATTTCACACAAACAAACAACAACCACTTCACACATTCTTTCTTTAATTGGTGTGTTTGAAGATTCCTTCTTTGTGGCGAACGCCGTAATTTTTTCCAATTTTGTCAAATACTTTTTAAACTGTTGCAATAACATATTTTCGTATGTTATTCTTTCCAAAGTTGTTTTTCTTACAGTAGTCATTTTAGGATCAACTTGTCCTACTCTATATTCTGGCAAAATATCTTTAAAGATCTCAGCTATAGAAAAACAAGCTAATTTTCTAACAGTGAAAAAATTAAGCGCACCAGTTTCGTTTCGCTCGTCTAACAGATTAAATAAAGCCTTGAAGTTTTTTAATTTTTCCTCGGGTTTTTCTAAAATTCCAGAGCATATGATACCAATTCGATATTTTTGTTTTTTTATCTCTTGTTCTCGTAGACATAAAAGGTCCGTTGTTGTAAGAAATTTTTTGTACTCAATTTTCATACCATCTGAAATATCTTCATTATTGATTACATCGTCATCGGAGTCTTCAAGTTCTTCTTCCTCTTCTTCTTCAATTTGTTCATTTTGATTATCCTCTGATGTTAAAACTTTTTTATGATCTGCTTTAGTTTTCCTGGTTATAATTTCACCGTCTCTACTTTTAATTGGCAGTAATAAAATTTCTTTCTGGGGGTCGTTCATTAAATTTTGTTTTGCATATTCTGTCTCAAAATTGTTTTCTGTCTCTTCCGAATTTTTTCTTAAATGTTTGTTCAATAAATTTTCATCACAATTTTCGATTATATCTTCTTCCTCGAGCACGTCTTTAATATTTTCATATATTTCCTCATCATTAATATCATGGTTTTGGTACTCCATTGGTCTACCATGATTTCTCTTTCGATTTTTAAATTTTTTTGGTTGATCGTACTGTTTTGGTTCTCTTTTGATATGACTTGCTGCTTTTTTTAACTTATCAGTTTTTGCCTGAGCAAATTTAAGTTTTGTGTTGCGTTTCTTTAATTTCAGATGCTGCGATCTTTTGGCAGCACCGATTTTTACTTTTTTCTAAAATAAATAAATATACAATTTTACTTTTTAATTACTTTCGTAATATACTTACAATTTTAACCATAATTCCTTAAAAATACCAAACAACAATTTAGCACATGTTCAAAACCGAAAGAGAGTATTGATATTGAGTGAAGGTGTCTCATCTGCAGCTGACAGAAATGCTGATATTTTTGTTATGTCAAAATCAGATCCAAAATTGTTGTTTTTTTGAGCGAGACTAAAGCAGGGTTACCACTCATAAAAAAATTAATAGGCCAAATTTAAGAAAAAAAGGCCAAAATTGATATTACTTATCGTATATATTATTAAGCAATGAAATTTTCTTAAGATTAAAGTTTTCATTTAAAATAAATTTAATTAAAAGGATAAAATATATATCTTAAAATTCATAGAAATTCAATCTATACAAACCTTTTACATTGCCATTTAAAAGAGTACTGACTTTCACTATGAGTCGGATTACGAAAAAAAAAAAAACAAAACAAATTTTAAATTGAAAAATTGTCATACTGTAAATTCTCTAAACTTTAAGCATATTTTCGTCCTACTGAAAAATTTCTATGCATATTCAAGAATATATTCTTCGAATAATCAGTGTTAACTTAATATTAATACAAATATCTGCGAAAAATTAAAACTTTCAACCTGCAATAATAGATTGTTTGATGAAAAAGTACGCTCGAAAATCATAGCATGTCTAAATTTTTGAAATATTGTTAAAAATTTTGTTCATACATTGCAACAAAAATATTTCAAATTTGAAAAAGATCATAACATAGAAATAATAATTTGTTGTTATTGCTTACACTTTTGTATATACACATAACTAGTATAATTTAACCAATAAATATACAAAAGTAAAATTTTTAATTATTAAAGATCAGCTATAGTGATGCAAAAAAATATTTTCAAGGTTTCCCTTAATGAACAAAATAAAAATAAAAAAACATTAAGCAAACAATCAGAACCTTCTTCTTCAATAGATTTTTTCAAACTAAAAAATAATTTCAATAGGAATAGAATAGATTATAGAATAGAAAATAAATTAAGAAAAAATATACGATTATATGAGTTATATCGAAATTGACCTGATTATATTTTATTGCGAAATCTTTATATCAGGACAATGGATGAAGAATATACTTAAGGCCTGATTGTCTATCGACTATCTCGCTATTTTACTCGGGAAGTGAGAAGAAAATGAGTAACTATTATATATTTACTTGATATATTTTCAATTGAGAAGTATTTGACATAGCAAATATATTTTCAATTGATAGTGTATTTGACATAACAAATATGTTTTTCAGCCTCTGTAATGTTTCATTTAACTCGATATAAAATTTTTAAAAATCTGGTAACTTCTTAGGTTATAGTTAAATTTCAGATTAACCCACAACACAATTAGTTTTCATTTTTCAAGACGTTTTACAATAAAACTTGTGCCTTTTGGTGTGGTAAGAAGTGAATCAATTTTATTTACATAGTGTTATCAACTTATTGTCATATTTTGAAAACATGGAGCAGCAGATTCGTAATGTATTTAAATATATAAGTTTGTACACAGTTTTAAAAGTACATTAAATTTTTAATATTGTAGATGAAAGATTTTTTGCAACTTTATAATAAAATAACAGAACTGTGCTTCTCACATTGTGCAGATAATTTCTACAGCAGAACTATTTCAGTTGATGAGGTATCTATCTATGTAAGCTTTATTTATCAATTTTAATACTTTTTTTTCCGCTAGACATTGTGTATTGATAAATGTTTACAAAAATTTACTAGAGTAAATCAAAGAGTAATGAATGTTTATGTAGATGTTCAAACAGAAATCACTCAGCGTCGTGTGCAGGAGCTCGAATCATTAACAAGAGAACAGCAGTCCAAAATATCAGCAGTATTAGGACCAAATGAAAATCAAATTGATAATAAAGAATCCGTTTCAAACGAAATTACACCAAATAAAATAAACACTGTAGGAAGTAATTTAGATAGTGAAAATTCAAATCCTTTACATTCTGCTCATTAAAAACACGAACATCCAAAAAATATGTCAAACATTTTTGTCGTTGTTTTAGTTGGATTGCCAGGTGCAGGAAAAACCACATTTTGCCGTGAAGTATTCAATTCCGAGTTTGTAACTCGGGCATATAACGTTATTCATGTGTGTTTTGACAATTATATTAAGGTAGATAAGGACTTAAAATCCTATACAAGAAAGGGATTAATTAGCGAAATTAGAAAGTTAATAGAGTCAATCAAAGCACACAATTTTAATCAAGCAATTTTGTTTAAATCTTCTAATTTATATAGAAATAATGATAAACATTTAATTTTAATAGATGATAATAATTATTACAAAGGAATGCGTTATGAATTTTACAGAATTTGCAAAAGTACAAGTACAGTATTTGTGCAGATATATTTTGCAATTCCATTGTCTATAGTTTTAAAAAGAAATCAGACAAGAAAGGATGGTTATATACCTGAAAATACAATAAATAATATGAACAAAAAATTTGAAGCACCGTCTAAAAAATCTAATTGGGAAAAATGTACATTAATTGTCACCCAAGAAGGTTTTGAAATAGAGAATATTATATCATATATAGAAAAATGTCCATATGTAAAATCTGTTGAAGTAAAGCAAAGAACAGCGATTAATCAAAATAAAATTCACGAAACAGATATAATTTTACGAAAGCATATCAAATACTTGATAACAAATAACAGGGAAAATAAATGTCGAAATATTGAAATTCTGGCAGAAAAACTAAATTTAAAGCGTAAAAATATTTTGGAAGAGCTTCGTGGTGGTGAGTTGGATTTAGATGATAATAAATTAATCGATATTTTAAAATTTAATTTGCAAGATTTTATATAAAAACATAAAAATAGAGCAGGAGGATGAATACGTACTTGCATCATCATAAGATCTATTGCCTATTAGATGACTGAAATAACAAAATTAAACAACTTTAATTAGAAATCACACCCAATTTTAGTTTGTATAGCCGGTTTTTATTAAAAATAATGTTAAAAATTGTTTAAATGCAAAACATATTCTTAATTAAATTTTTGATAATATGTATTGCTACTTAACTGTATTTATGAATATTTGTAGCTTTATGTTGCTTTAAATGAGATTCTTGACGGAATTCCTTCCCGCAATCTTCACATTTATGTGGTTTAACCTTGAAATAAATATGAATTATGAGAAAAATGTTGATTAATTTTCTTAGAAATATAAATGTTTTAGTAAAATATCAATTTTTTATTTCGAGAGTTGAATTATTTTCAATTTTTGCAAGCCCTTTAGATTTTCCTAGTTTTAGTTTATACTAGTTTAAGTCTAAATTCAAAGAAAAATTTTAGACCCCTTGTTTGGACGATATTTATATACTGCTTCTTTTTTTTGTAAAATAAAAACGTTTATGTACCTATATTGTATGTGTATTTTACTTAATTTTGTAATTTAATCAATACTTCCGCTTGAATAAAACTTCAAAATTTTTTTTTGCTAGAATTCGAATAGACTGAATTTTGTTTCATATTTATACCTTTTGTTTAACAATTTTGCTTCTTTCTTAGAATTTTGTGCAATAAATATAATTATGCACATACTATTACCTCATTTTTAATATAACAAATGCATCATATACCATTAATACATACTTACGCCAGAGTGAACTAGCATATGACGCTGTAAAGACTGGGAATATGAAAAAGTTCGCGTACATAGCTCACATTTGTAGCATCTCTCCCCAGTATGAACTCTAAATAGATAATATAATTTTTAAATCAGTGAATATATCAGAATATAATTGTAAACCCCTACTTTTCATGAGCTCGTTTTAAACCATTTGTGTAAAAAGTTCGGCTACAAAACGAACATTTGTAATTTCTTATGCCTGTATGAGTTCTTACATGCCGAGCTAAATATGTGTTTAGTAAAAATTCCTTCCCGCATATCCTAAAAATCTATAAATTTAAATAAACATGAACTAAAACTTTATTTTTTTCTTACTCGCATTTGAAATCTTTCGATCCACTATGCCATCTCATATGATCCGTTAGCAAAGCTCTTTTTTTGTAGACATTACCACAAAGTTCACAAACAAATATTTTTTCCTTCGTATTTGATTTTGAATATTTGCGTACATAAACTTTACTTTTAATTTCATTTGGCTTAATATTTGTTTTTAAATTCGATTTGTTTATTATAGATTGTCGTAAGGATTCAACATCGCTATCAGAATACGCAGAATTATTTTCAGTTATAAGATTATAGCTCCCAAGGGGTTTATCTTTATCATCTTCGAAAACGTTCTTATTTTTACATTTGCCATTCAGATCAGCTTAAATGGAAAAAAATGACTGCCTATTTATAAACGTATTTGCAAAAATAAAACCTTTAGTTTTTGAGGAACTCTTCTTATTAACAGCATTATCATTTGATTTTATTTCTTTGTCCAATCGCTGTGCAATTTCTTTCTGACCAAATTTGAATTCCTTCATATTTGTTTCATAATGGCAAGTCAATATTTTTTCGGATAAAGACTGTTTTTTATATTGTGCTATAAAATTTGTTATAATATTTTCACTATTTCTGCAAGCTACTCGAAAATCATAAGCAATTTTCAAAGTTGTAGCACAAGCTGGGCATATTAAAAGAGCAAGTTCCGACGTGGTGTCAGGCTTAAAATTTTTAAAATAATAAATTTATCATAATTTTTTTTTGAAAAATTTAACAATTTATACTAACCTTTACTTCAGATAAAAGTTGAATTTTATCGGCGATGGTTATATTATTGATATAATCATCTATTTCTGTAATATTTTTCCATACCTCACTTTCAATTACTTTTACGTGCAAACAAATTCTGCAAGTACTAAATATTATGTTTACCATATTTTATAATTTCGTAATTTTCCGCTTTTAATTTATAGGGTAATATTTATTTATGTAAGATATAAATTTTTATATTTTTTCGATGAAACCTTGTAAGAAACAATAACATTTTCAGTTAACCTTTTTAAAAATGCAGAAGTACGGGCAAGGGCCCAGGAACATAAATGTATATTAGAGTCTATAATCTATAATATAGATTCTATATTGTATGTTTTGTGTTCCTACCGTACTGTCTCAATCTTACCCATCATATACATTATAATATACAACCAAACCAATACACTTTATATAGTCAATCACCGCAAACTATGAAGCTGTCACTTCAAAAATCCTACTAAACAGAAGTATAAAGGTGTGTTCCTATTGCATAGGCGAGGCATAAACAATGATGTTTGCATAGAGTAGCATCAGACAGTACAAGAGTATTTTCCGCATAAAACGAAAAGCAGCTAAGATTATAGATTCTCCTATAGACTGGAATTTTTTCTGATAAAAAAATTATATTTATATTTTTAAGATGAGTAAAAAGTATTCCACATTTTTGTGATGTGTTAATTATTTAACGGTTTTGTGTTAATAAAAGGTCTTTTATGAGACAGAATCAAGTTTTAATTCAGACATCTTTTTAAAAAGTAAACACTTTATTTCGTGAACATTTTTTACATAACGAATATGAAGTTTGACATTTCGTTGCGGAAAATCACTCTTGTTCTGTTTCGGACTTAAAACATAGGCAATGAACTCGCCTTAAAATACTAGTTTTACTGTTTTTGACATTTTAAAATTTACTATAGCTATCAGAAAATAGAGCAGTAAAAGGTCTCGTTTGATTTTGTTTTGTTATCATTTATCAAAATTATTTGTATTTTGATTAAAATTAGGTTGTGTTGTTTCAACCTGTTACAAGATTTGTTATAATTTATGAAATAAAAGTAAGTTGCAGCAAAACAAAATAAAATGGGGGATGAAGAAAATACCAAGGAATATCGATGGGAAACTGGATATGAAAAAACTTGGTTTGTAATTTTTTATGGTAAAATATTATGTGTATTATTTATCAAAAGCAAAACTATTTAAGGGAAGCTATAAAGGAAGACGATGAGGGGCTTATCGACAGCAACGTTTTGAAAATTATTCAAAAAGCAAAAAAAAGACGGCAGGAACAGAGATCTGCTCAAAATAGGTTAGGTATGATGCGGCATTTATTCTTAATATTGGATTGTTCAGAATACATGAGCGAGCAAGATTTGAAGCCTACAAGATTTTTATGTTCTCTCAAAGTAATAAAAAAAAACAGTTCTTGAATTGAATATTAATTTCTGATTCTTCAGCTTCTCGAAATATTTATTGAAGAGTTCTTTGATCAAAACCCAATTAGCCAATTGGGACTTATAGCTTTAAAAGGTAAGAGAGCAGAAAAAATTACTGAACTAGGAGGAAATGCAAAAAAACACGTTCAAATTGTTCAAGGGTATTGCAGATAAGTTTGTTTTTTCTTCCAGTAGCTAATTAAATTTTTTTTGTTTCAGTCTTTCGAAGCTCAATTTAAGTGGGGAACCTTCTATTCAAAACGGCGTTGATTTGGCAATCAAAACCTTAAAAGTAATACCAGCACACGCAAGTCGAGAAATTTTAATTATTATGGGAAGTATTACAACTTGCGATCCAGTTGATATTAATTTAACTATTGACACCCTAAAAAACGAAGGCATCAGATGTTCAGTAATAAGTTTGTCTGCAGAAATCCGAGCTTGTCGCTATTTAACAAAAGAGACAAATGGGACATATGGGGCAGCTTTAGATGATTTTCACTATCGTAATCTATTATTGGCTCACGTCGACCCACCTCCAGCAACGCAAACACAAGAGAATTCCTTAATTAAGATGGGATTTCCTCATGCCAAGTGTGATGAAGGAAAAGATCCACCACTAACTATGTGTATGTGTCATATAGAAAATGTAGATGAACCTAGTAAACTTAATTCGGGCGGTTATCATTGTCCGCAATGTTTTAGTAAATATTGTGAATTACCTGTCGAATGTCTTTCATGTGGATTAACGCTTGTTTCTGCTCCACATTTGACAAGGTCTTATCATCATTTGTTTCCGGTAAATAACTTCAAGGAAGTGGAATTTGTAGGTCAAGCTCTTGTTTGCTTTGCTTGTCAAAAAACATTCTCTAAAGCTACTGATAAACAGATTTATCAATGCGAAAACTGCATGCAGCTCTATTGTTCTGAATGTGATATATTTATTCACGAGTCATTGCATACATGTGTAGGATGTACGACCCTACCTGGTGTTGGCAATATAAATTTTTATATAAAAAACATTCACACAAATTCAAACAGATTTAAAAAGTAAATTAGTAAAAGAAAACATTTACCGAAATAAAAAACGTAAAATCTATTTTAATTACTAAAAAAACTAGTTTTATTAAGAATAAAAAATACTTTTATTTCATTTTAACCGTGCGAATTACATGAAAAGCTTTATGTTATTAAAATTAGTTGAAAACAAACTCAAGAAGCTCGTTGAAAATGATTGTACACATTTTAATGAATATTTATTATTAGTGATTTTTAAAATACAAATACAAATAAGATTTTTAATACTATGTTTGTACACGTATTATTATTTAAATATATACTGGAATATTAACGACTATGTAACAAATCCCTATTGAAAAATACTTAGGACAGACAGTGATTTGATTAAATTAGTTGGTTTTTTCTTTTGCACAGTTTTTGATAATTCTTTGAAAATGCAAATGTAAAAAAAAGCTAATTATTCTTAAAGGACCCATCAATACAGCTTGCAACAAATACAGCCCCAAACCACCCCAGGGAGCCATTCCACAGCATAAGATAGTCAAAATCCAGCTCTCTATTCCATATATGGAAAAAAATGTTCCTTTCTAACAATAAAAAATTCATATGAATAAAAACGGAAAACACAAAAAACAAAAAAAATACCAGACTGTCCTGAATAATGCATTTTGCTACATCTTCAGGGTTCGCCAGTCCTCCAGTTCCGGATATTAGTTTAGTCTCTTTCGGTTTAGACTTTTCTTCATTTTCAAATCCAGGCGTATTAGTGTCTGCGGGCATTGCAAGTCTAATAAAAAAATTGTTTAACTTATTCGAAATGGCGACTTATTGATTTAAAAACTTTATTGTCATATTTATTTCAGCAATTTTACTTACGTTACTGTAATTCCAAAGTTTTTAGTTTCCATAGCGATTGTCTCAGCTAAGCCCCGCAAGGCAAATTTTGCAACAGAGTAAGGACCATAACCATATATGCCCATTAAAGCGGCCTGCGATGAAGTTATTACAATCGTTCCTGAACGCCTTTGCTTCATTTTTGGTAAAACATGACGCACGCAGTGATAAGTGCCAAAATAGTTAATATCCATCAGTTTTTTGGCATCTTCGATACTTACTTCCTCAAACACTCCACAAACTTAAGATCATGTGGAGAAATAAGTAGCTTAAACATAACTGTGGATTTTCAAATACTTACCAGCAAAGCCTGCACAATTTATTAACATTTCAATATCGCCAAAGTTCTCTTCGGCGTCTTGTAAGCATTTTTCGACCACATCATAGTTGCCTGATAGATCTAAAGATTTGTATTGAAATTTTTGATTTTCATTTTTCTTATTTAACTCAAGCAATTTCACTGATTTTTCTAGCAAATTTGTTCTTCGTGCTAAGAGTGTAACAGATGCACCTCTCCTTGCACATTCTATTGCCATATGCAATCCTATTCCACTAGAGCCACCTAAATATATCGTGTGTAGCCAAAATAAGAATGTAGTTATATATAGATGTAACATATGTATACATATGTATATATACCTGTTATCACAACATGTTTCCCATTTATATCTTTAGGTTTTTTTTTTGTCACTAAAGTGTATATTAAGATATGAATTGTTAAGGCCAATATAACGTAAATCCCAATTTCAATTACCAAACCCATTTCGTATATTAATATTGAAACTAAGAATTAAATATTGAGGCACATAAACACAATTCTTAAACGCCCGAGCAGACCATATTGCATTTAATAGATAAAATATGTACATATATTTAAAACATATATACTCTATTTCTGAAAGAACTTCGAAAACACAAATGTCAAATGAAAGTGACACTTTTATATCAATTTTCGATTTTTCCGCAAAACAATTTTACTGGTTAACTGTCAACTGTCCTTTTCCACAAAAATACGATTCAGCCTTTTGATTTTAATGTGCTGAATGGTATAGCTGTGGGAAGTGATTGTGAACCGGAGTGACAGTCAACTCATTATTTTGTCAGCAAATGAATTCTAGAGTTTATTGATTAAATAGATCTACGATGAAAATAGAACAGAAAGTTTCAGTCCGTTTTAAAGTTATATAATTAATTTCACTCACAATAAATTTAATAAATCAAATTCACTATTTATTTTTATGTGGTGATGATATTATGAGTTTACGGTCACTTCCCACTAAAATACCATTCATCCCATTAAAATTAAACGATATTATATAAAATGAATTTTTATTTTTTTTTATTTTATATAATATCGTTTAATTTTTTTTTAATTTTAAGGGCATGATAGATATCATGCACTAGCCCTATACTCCTCCTAGGGGTGAAGAAGAAAAAAAAAAAATATAAAATGAATTATATAATTTTAAAAAGAACTAAAATTTTTTGTTCTATTTTCATCGTAGATCAATTTAATCAAAAAACTGTAATTCATTCTTTGAAAAAATAATAAAACACTAGTCTTTAATTTTGATACAATTCTATCTCTAGTGCTATCACTGAAGAAAGCGCTATTGTGAATGTGTACATCGATTCAGGAAGGTCTTTTATTGTGCAAAAGCGCTTCTTATAAAATTGTCAAAGTTTGACTTTCAGCCATTTTGAATTCCAATCTATCAAAAAAGAAAAAAAAAATAACAAAATGAAAAATATTTTTATCTTTTTTATAAAGTCCTACATATTTAAAAATAACACAAAATTTTAAATTAATTGTTTTTAAAGTAGTTGAAAAAAATTATAAAATAAATTAAAGAAAATAGAAAGAGAAGTAGTCAAAAATTTTAAAATAAAAAATTGTCTTTTAACGAAAGGTGAAATAGTTAAAAATTAAGTTATCAAAAGTGGTAAAAAAGTATCAAGTGTTTTAGTGTTGCAAAATTTGGAATTAAATTTAATATTTCAATTCGAAATCATTTTTATGTGAATAAAATAGAAAATTTTCAAATGTAAGTTTTCAAATTTCCTTTTTTAAACATATAGTTTTATTTACATATAGGCTACAATTACTATTTTTTTCATTAAATAGAGAAAAAGTAAGAAAATTTCATTGAAAAAAAAAATTTACCTAAATTATGCACATATTTACATACTTCAGTATACGTGCATATAATAACATACCTGTCAAATATGACTTCTTTTTGCAGGAAAACTAAATTTTGACTACGATATACGGATATAAAAAAAAGAAAATAAATTACTTTGACTGCATTTAGAAAAATAAATATACTTAATTATTGCTTTCGTGGTATGAATATTTTGAAATTTTTGCAAAATTAGATTAAAACCCTGAAGAAAACAAAACGGTTTCTTACTTTTAGATACTTAAATATTCTAGAAGCACAAAAAAAAGAAAAAATGAATCTTGAATTTTGATACCGCCCAATGTCTGAATTTTCACCTGTGTATTCCATTTGAATAGTAAAATAATGTAAAAGGAAGATACATAATTATGTTGGAATTTGTTTGCATATTTTTTTTCCTATGGAATTCATGTTTCAGAGTAATAATATTAATAAATATTTTATAATTTAGTATTGATTGTTTAAAATGGTAATATAAAGCAATCTTATTACTTTTTTTATGAAATGTTGATTTATTGGAAATAAACTTATTCAATCTAATCTTGAATAACAAATTTTGAGGACAAAATTGGATGCGTTGCTTGAAAGATTTTCTGACGAAAACGTAGGTTCATGATAGATACCTACCGAGCAATTTCAGCTATATGTACATCCAGTACCTATATATATGTACCTAGTAATCTATTTAAGAGTTTTGCTGAGCAAACATTATAAATGATTCTTTAATAATATGAAAAAATGAAATTTAAAAATAAGATTGTTTTTATCAGAGTAGATAGCTTATAAAAAAAGGAACTCAGTAAATAATATCAGACAGTGAGAATGTTAAATAAAAGTATTCGGTCTGCATTGCAAATTACTATACCTACAATTTTTTTGATTTACAATAAGCATGATGCGAAATTGTGGATACCTACCTATTTTTAAATTTATGTATACATACTTTATGAATTTGCGTAATATTATGAATGACTGAGCTTTCGTGTAATTGTTAAAAAAAATAAAGATAAAAGCACAAAAACAACAAAATATTTTACGTATTTCCCTTTTCTCTCGTATTGTTTGTATTTTTTTTCCGTGTTATTATGATGGTAACATACATATATTTAGTATGTATGTATATATAATTAGATTGTACATGTGAGACAATTTAAATATATTTTTAAAATAAATTTTATATAATTTGTGTATAGTATGTGAGTATATACATACATACGTATATTATAATAAAAGTATGTTATCTTTGAAAAAATCAGATCTTAGCAGATACTGCTAAAGGTACCTATTTATTTGGAAATAATACTTACTTACATATATTTTTTTACTTAGCAGCATGTTTGATAGTGCCTATATATTTAGGTACAGACATATATATTTATGTACTTATAGGCTATACACATGTACATATACGACGAATCTATAAATTTGACTTTAGTATCTTTAAATGTATTTTTTTTAATTAACTTTCAAGTTGTTATTGAAATTTTCTTCTCTCTCTCTCCGTAAATTTTCAATCTCACTTTTCGATTTTCTGAATAAAGCAAACTACAATTACAATTGCAAAAATATAAATGCATTTATATTTTTTGAATTTTTAATTAATTACTCATGCTCATCCCAATTTTCCTTATTCATACAATCATACCATAATTTTATATTTGTATATTTTTATATTAAACAAAAGTACTGTAAGGCAGAGGACGGAACGGGATAGTAAGAAATTAAGTCTTCTTGACTGATTTAAAAAACAAACTATCTTATTGAATAGTAAACTTACTCATATACATACTTACTTACTTACTTACTTATGCAGTTAATAAATTTGTACTTTTACGTTTGTTTTACTGCTTTCTTTGTTTTCTATTTTTCTTATTATTATTGTCAAACGTGTTCACATTTGAATTGAATACAAAGTAATAGTTTTAAGCGTAGTTTATCTTCAAGTGCTATGATGTAAAATATGAGATTGAGCGGCGTTTTTAAGAGAGTGTTTTTAAATTGCATTTCAGAGCAAAACAAGAAAACAAAAACGCAAAATATTTTAGGTGCATTTGATCAGTATTGATTGAGCACTTAAAACGTTTGGTTGGTTTAAATAATTTTATTTTTTTTTTTCTTAAAAAAAGATTACATTTTGAAATGAAATTGTGAAAAATTGGAAATAAGGATTTTAAGATTTGGAATAATTATACGAATTTTATTTAAATAAAAATTTATTGATACAAGATTCGTGACAGTTAAATTAATTTTTAATATTAAATTATTGATATAATAATTTAATTGATTAATATTACTTACTCAAAATAATTTTTGTTATTCCTTAATAATTTTGTGTGATTTGGAAAAAAAGTTTAGTGTAAAAATTGTGTTTCGAATATGAAAATAACAAAAAAATTATAATAAAAATAATTTCAATAATATCTCTAAAATAAATAGCAGAAATTTCAATCGTCAATTAATATTTTTTTTTAATAAAATTTTTATTAATATCATCTCGACTTTGTTTTGTATATTTTATGTTCAATTAAAGAATATTTTAATAACTTGACTAATTTCATTTTTATAGCGTTTCAACTGATGTGAATTTCACTGTTTTTTATTTACTTTTATTATTATTATTTATAACAGTTAATATTTAATAACAGTTAATATTTTTGTTACATATTTAATTGAATGAGCGTATTTATTTAAAAATTCTTAATACTTATTCTTTCTAATTTAAATTATTCTCATAAAAATTCTTTTAAATTTGAATATGTTAAAAAATTAAATAAAATTAAAAGCGATTGTAAACAAATCATTTTCTGTGAGAAGAATTTTGCCATTATTTTCTCTCTCTATTTTTAAAAGTGATAACTTCAGCCGATAATTTGGAAACAAATGCAAAAGTTCAATTGAAAAAATGATTAATCATATTGGAAAATATAAAAGTCATTTGGAAAATAGAGAATTCTGATATGAAAGTGAACAAAAAGTGATATGAAAAAGGAAGATACACAATTAGGCTATAAAATTCTATAATGGAAGAAGTAAAAGTTCTATTGTACTGAAAAATCAAAACAAAATAATTGATCGCGTATTAAAAAAGAGTTGTAGTCAGCTTAATAAAAGAATTAAAGAAACGGTTTTGTTGAATTTTTTTTTTTAAATAGAAACCGGAAATATTCTAAACAATTTTTCCTTTATTATTTTTATTAAAAATTACTTAAAAAATTATCATTTTCTTACATTTCCTATAGTTTTTCTAAGTTCCCATAAAGCATTTTTTTTTATCAAAAAGGAAACAAAAAAAAAATACAAATATCTGTGGTGGTGTCTCATCTAATACAAATTTAAATCCTAAAACAAAACCCCAAAAAAAGAAACCAGAAATTATTTCTAAAATAATCTTAAAGTCGCACTTGTTGAATAATTCAATAAAAATAAAATTCCATAATCCAGATTGAAATTTTATTTTATTTATTTTTTTTTATCTTTTATAATTCATTTGAGATTCTTTTTCATTTAAAGAAAAAAAAGAAAAGCATTTTGTTAATAAATCGTTTTTTACCAACCACATTCCACACAATAAGAGAGGTAATGTGATAGCACCAAATTTCACGTTTTCAGTGGAAATGTGTTTTTTAATGCTAAGGAAGCGGTAAATAAATTATTTTTAGAAAGATTTCTGTCTGTGTAGATGGGTGTTTCAAGCTCGGCTAGATCAGTTTCATGAAAATTTATTTGTGAGTTTTGATCCGGGATAACTGGAATCAAATCTTTATTACCGGGTGATTTTACATTTTTATATAATT